TTCAACTATTTCTCCAAGGAACATAGTCATTTATATCCAGGGATTTACTAGATTCCCCATATCAGGCAAGATGAAACAGTTTGTCAGGAATATCAAAAGCTTCTTTCAGAGAACATTGTTTAATACATCACTGTCACTGATTTTCCTTAAAACCATAAATGGTTTTGACAGAGTAAATCAAGGCTATTTACACTGATTAGTGAGTGGGTATCAAGAGAGCATAAATTGAGAATAAACTAAGCAAAATATCACCAGAAGAAGAATGGAGGTTAGAAGAATTGTTAACCTCTGGTTTTGGGCTCAATGGTGCTAATGGAATCAGTGTATTCAGTTATCGACTGATCACGTTGACTGTACATTATTCATCAACAATGTGATAACTCTCAGTGGTGATAATTACCACTTCAGGGGCTGCAATTTTCACCCATTAAAAGGTATTGAGAAAGTGCAGAGGAATGGAATTAGAATAGCTGGATCCAGTGAGGGAGCTAGCACTAGCACAGGCATGACGGACTATGTGGCTTCCTTTTATACTATATAAATTCTGTGATGCACAAAGAGATGTGATTTGACAAAGATCAGCATCTCACAATTTACCTAGAAATGTGGCCACATGATGAGCAGGTATAAAGGTATCTGATCTCTTTCAAATCAATATCACAGTGCACTTCAGAATGACCTACAAAATGACTGTTAGATATCCAAGACCTCAAAGTTATGATGTTAAGGTTATGAAAGCGTACAGAAGAGATTGACTAGGTTGATACCAGGGATGAGAACCTTTACTTATAATAATAATATAATAATAATAATCCTTTACATTTGATATAGCACTTTTCACATCGGGAGGACGTCCCAAAGCGCTTCACAGAACACACTGTAAAGTGAATTGACTGTATATTTGTGGGCGAACGCGGCAGCCAATTGCGCACAGCAATGTCCCACAAACAGTCATAGATTGAAAATGACCAATTTATTATTGTTTTTGGTTTTGGAAGGATTATTATTAAGCGTGTGGAGTAAGGAAACTTGCCCAAGGTTTCGCCCTGTGCCTGGAATTGAACTCAGGTCTCTCACTTGCAAAGCGAGTGCTCTAACCCCTGAGCTACAGGACTCCATAAGAAGACTCTATAAGAAGAGACTGGAGAAACTGGGGATAGAACACATTAGAATATACAGCACGGAAACGGGCCATTCGGCCCAACTGGTCTATGCCGGTGTTTATGCTCCACATGAGCCTCCTCCTGCCTTTCCTCAACTAAGCCTTCAAGCATAACCTTCTATTCCTTTCTCCCTCATGTACCTATCTAGCTTTCCCTTAAATACTCTGTGAGTGTCAGCTTATGGATTCTGAGTCCCGATGTGGGGCTTGAAATCACAATTTTCTGATTGAACAACAATTTTGTTTGCATTTTGCAGTATATAGCGCTTTTCACATGGGGTAGTGACTTAGAGCACTTAGAGGGGCAAGTGCTACTGACTGAGTTAGACCTGATATGGAATGCTCTGCCACAAACAATGGCTGAAGCAGAATCCACAATAGCTTTTAAAAGGCAATTAGACAAATATATGAAAGAATTAAGCTCTAAAAGGATACAAAGAAAAAGCAGGTGAGTGACTCTCAATAGATCTGTCTTGAGTGGGTTATCCTGTCTTTCAGCCTTTGGATTCAGAAGTTTCTGGGTTCAAGCCTTATGAGCTCATAGACTGGCAAGTACAGTACAGAGTTAAATGCTGTCCTTCGGAACAGTAGTCCTTGTTCTGGGTGGACTATTAAAGATCATATGACTCTGTTCGTAAAGAGGAAGGAGTTTCTACCGGTGTCCTCACCAACAATGCTTCAGATAAATTGGTCATTCAATTCATGACTGTTTGATGAACCTAGCTGTGTGCAAAATGACTGCTGCTATGCCTACACTGCACTTGACAGCAATTCCCTTGTGAAGCATTTTGACGTTTATGGGTGCTGTGTCAAATCTAAGGATATCTAATTAAGAGAGCCATGGTATTAACACCTAATACAATTGATTGCTCAGACTTCGTAGATCACCCTTTTTCTGTGCAGATAATAATTCTCTCCAGACCAACTGAACAATTTAGCTGTGTTGCCTTTCTGAATAGGAATAGGTTTGTTCAAGGTTGGAACCATGCTGACAGTGTTTTCAGTTTGTGACCTTCATGTAGACCTTCAACAGACTATAGAGACCCAAGGATTATTTTTCTTCCTTGGGTACTTCCTTTCCTTATGTGTCAGTGAAAGATTCTTTCTCTGCTTCATTACAAACGATTGCACTTTTACCAGTCCTACCTTTGAGGTAACTTTTTCTTGAGTTGCTTTTGAAGCTGAAGGATGTTTTTCATGTTTATATAGAGGCCACACTAATAAATAATCCTTCCATCTCACATAGTGCCTTCCACATTAGGAGAACGTCTCAAAGCGCTTCACAAGATTTACTGTTAAATGCAGTGGCTGTGTATTTTGGAGTTGAATGGATACAATGGCTTTTATTAATTTTGTGTAACAATCCACAACTGTTTGTGGGACACTGCTGTGCGCACTTGGCCGCCACTTTTCGCCTACAAAATATACTTTACAGTATATTCCGCAAAGCGTTTTGAAATGTTTCAGCGACACAAGGCGCTGTACCAAATGGGAGGATTATTATTATTATTATAACAAATTGAACTGCTTCATCACATTTTGTAAAATTGCCAGAGCACACACTGTAAGCAGTTGTAAATTTGTAGAATTGTAAAATTCTATTTTGAAGACTATCTGGGGACAAGTTTTCATTTTTTGGGAGAGTATCCTTGTCTTCATTGATTTATTTCCATTTTGAAAGAAAAACTGCACAGTTCACCAACTGCACTGACCTCCTATTGTAAATAGAGAGAACTGACACTGTTTTGGCAAGTACCAAAGAATTTGCCTTTTCTGACATTGTGTTTTCTACTTAAGACTTAAAATGGTTCCTCGGACGTTCCCTTGGTTTCTTGAGCTGTCATCAATCCAACTGTGTTTCAAAACTTACATAACTGAAGAGCTTTGCTGACCTTTTACAAAAGTCTTCTCAGTATTTCGGAACAGAGCCAACAAAACAGGAAGCGCTGAATTGCTGACCTCCTTCAATCATTCAGGTCTGAGGATAAAAATTGGTTTTCCACTGCTGTGGAATGTCTAATGGTCTCCTGGTTGGCAACATACAGTGTCCCAGTGACACACAGATAGCCGACATCTGTGCAGATCAGCACATCAAACTGTCGTTTTGTTTGACTGCGATTCTGCACTCGTACAGAAATACCACTGAATAATCTGAGGGTTTGTTGTGAAGCAATGCACCGAGCGTTCATTACCAACCCAGGCACAGGTCAGTTGTGATGGTCATTGTATCAATAGATGGCCTGCCCTGTGCCCACTGCCCTGTGCCCACACTGCCCTGTGCCCACACTGCCCCGTGCCCACTGCCCTGTGCCCACACTGCCCCGTGCCCACTGCCCTGTGCCCACTGCCCTGTGCCCACACTGCCCTGTGCCCACACTGCCCTGTGCCCACACTGCCCCGTGCCCACTGCCCTGTGCCCACACTGCCCCGTGCCCACTGCCCTGTGCCCACACTGCCCTGTGCCCACACTGCCCTGTGCCCACACTGCCCCTGCCCACTTCCCCGTACCCACACTGCCCTGTGCCCACACTGCCCCGTGCCCACTGCCCTGTGCCCACACTGCCCCGTGCCCACACTGCCCCGTGCCCACACTGCCCCGTGCCCACACTGCCCCGTGCCCACACTGCCCTGTGCCCACACTGCCCCGTACCCACACTGCCCTGTGCCTACACTGCCCCGTGCCCACTGCCCTGTGCCCACACTGCCCTGTGCCTGTGCCCACACTGCCCTGTGCCCACACTGCCCCGTGCCCACTGCCCTGTGCCCACACTGCCCTGTGCCTGTGCCCACACTGCCCTGTGCCCACACTGCCCTGTGCCCACACTGCCCTGTGCCCACACTGCCCCGTACCCACACTGCCCTGTGCCCACACTGCCCTGTGTCTGTGCCCACACTGCCCTGTGCCCACACTGCCCTGTGCCCACACTGCCCTGTGCCCACACTGCCCTGTGCCCACACTGCCCTGTGCCTGTGCCCACTGCCCTGTGCCCACACTGCCCCGTGCCCACTGCCCTGTGCCCACACTGCCCTGTGCCCACACTGCCCTGTGTCTGTGCCCACACTGCCCTGTGCCCACACTGCCCTGTGCCTGTGCCCACACTGCCCTGTGCCTGTGCCCACACTGCCCTGTGCCCACACTGCCCTGTGCCCACACTGCCCCGTGCCCACTGCCCTGTGCCCACACTGCCCTGTGCCTGTGCCCACACTGCCCTGTGCCCACACTGCCCTGTGCCCACACTGCCCTGTGCCCACACTGCCCTGTGCCCACACTGCCCTGTGCCCACACTGCCCTGTGCCCACACTGCCCTGTGCCCACACTGCCCTGTGCCCACACTGCCCTGTGTCCACACTGCCCTGTGCCTGTGCCCACACTGCCCTGTGCCCACACTGCCCTGTGCCCACACTGCCCTGTGCCTGTGCCCTGTGCCTGTGCCCTGTGCCCACACTGCCCTGTGTCCACACTGCCCTGTGCCCACACTGCCCTGTGCCCACACTGCCCCGTGCCCACACTGCCCTGTGCCCACACTGCCCTGTGCCTGTGCCCACACTGCCCTGTGCCCACTGCCCTGTGCCCACACTGCCCTGTGCCTGTGCCCTGTGCCCACACTGCCCTGTGCCCACACTGCCCTGTGTCCACACTGCCCTGTGCCCACACTGCCCTGTGCCTGTGCCCTGTGCCCACACTGCCCTGTGCCCACACTGCCCTGTGCCCACACTGCCCTGTGCCCACTGCCCTGTGCCCACTGCCCTGTGCCCACACTGCCCTGTGCCTGTGCCCTGTGCCCACACTGCCCTGTGGGTGCAGGTCTCTCGGGGCCCAGCAGGAGGCGCTGTGGTTGTCAGGCCGGGGCGGGATGGCAGACATGGAGGACAGTGACTGTGGTCGGTGCTCCTGCGGCTCCTGGCATTTCAGTGAGTGGCGGCGGCCCGACCCCGGGGGCAGGGAGGGGGGGCCCGGGGGGGCAGGGAGGGGGGGCCCGGGGGGCAGGGAGGGGGGCCCGGGGGGCAGGGAGGGGGGGCCCGGGGGGGCAGGGAGGGGGGGCCGGGGGGAGGGGGGGCCCGGGGGGGAGGGGGGCCCGGGGGGCAGGGAGGGGGGGCCCGGGGGGGCCCGGGGGGCAGGGAGGGGGGGCCCGGGGGGGAGGGGGGGCCCGGGGGGGAGGGGGGGCCCGGGGGGCAGGGAGGGGGGCCCGGGGGGCCCGGGGGGCAGGGAGGGGGGCCCGGGGGGGCAGGGAGGGGGGGCCGGGGGGGAGGGGGGGCCCGGGGGGCAGGGAGGGAGGGGGGCAGGGAAGGGGGGCCCGCGGGGGCAGGGAGGGGGGGGCCGGGGGGGAGGGGGGGCCGGGGGGGAGGGGGGCCCGGGGGGGCAGGGAGGGAGGGCCCGGGGGGGCAGGGAGGGGGGGCCCGGGGGGGCAGGGAGGGGGGGCCGGGGGGGAGGGGGGCCCGGGGGCAGGGAGGGAGGGGGGGCCCGGGAGAGGGGCCCCGGGGGCAGGGAGGGGGGCCCGGGCCGCTCTCTGTACCCGCACCCCCGGTCCGCGGCCTCGGCACCGGGAGCCAACAACACGGGAGGGGGAGAGAGAGAGGGGGGGAGTGTGTAACACACACACAGAGGGGGAGTGTGTAACACACACACAGAGGGGGAGTGTGTAACACACACACAGAGGGGGAGTGTGTAACACACACACAGAGGGGGAGTGTGTAACACACACAGAGGGGGAGTGTGTAACACACACACAGAGGGGGAGTGTGTAACACAGAGAGAGGGGGAGTGTGTAACACACAGAGAGAAGGGGAGTGTGTAACACACACACAGGGGGAGTGTGTAACACACACACAGAGGGGGAGTGTGTAACACACACACAGAGGGGGAGTGTGTAACACACACACAGGGGGAGTGTGTAACACACACACAGAGGGGGAGTGTGTAACACACACACAGGGGGAGTGTGTAACACACACACAGAGGGGGAGTGTGTAACACACACACAGGGGGAGTGTGTAACACACACACAGAGGGGGAGTGTGTAACACACACAGGGGGGGAGTGTGTAACACAGAGAGAGGGGGAGTGTGTAACACACAGAGAGAAGGGGAGTGTGTAACACAGAGAGAGGGTTAGTGTGTAACACACAGAGAGAGGGGAGTGTGTAACAGAGAGGGTTAGTGTGTAACACACAGAGAGAGGGGAGTGTGTAACACAGAGAGAGAGGGGGGAGTGTGTAACACACAGAGAGAGAGAGGGGGGAGTGTGTAACACACACAGGGGGGGGAGTGTGTAACACACACAGAGAGAGGGGGGGAGTGTGTAACACACAGAGAGAGGGGGGGAGTGTGTAACAGAGAGGGGAGTGTGTAACAGAGAGAGAGAGGGGGGAGTGTGTAACAGAGAGAGGGGGGAGTGTGTAACACAGAGAGAGAGGGGGGAGTGTGTAACAGAGAGGGGAGTGTGTAACACAGAGAGAGAGGGGGGAGTGTGTAACAGAGAGAGGGGGGAGTGTGTAACACAGAGAGAGAGGGGGGAGTGTGTAACAGAGAGAGGGGGGAGTGTGTAACACAGAGAGAGGGGGTGGGAGTGTGTAACACGGAGAGAGAGAGGGGGGGAGTGTGTAACACAGAGAGAGAGGGGGAGTGTGTAACAGAGAGAGAGGGGGGAGTGTGTAACACAGAGAGGGGAGTGTGTAACACAGAGAGAGAGGGGGAGTGTGTAACACAGAGAGGGGAGTGTGTAACACAGAGAGAGAGGGGGAGTGTGTAACACAGAGAGGGGAGTGTGTAACACAGAGAGAGGGGGGAGTGTGTAACAGAGAGAGAGATAAATTGGTCATTTTCAATCTACGACTGTTTGTGGGACATTGCTGTGCGCAATTGGCTGCCGCGTTCGCCCACAAATATACAGTCAATTCACTTTACAGTGTGTTCTGTGAAGCGCTTTGGGACGTCCTCCTGACGTGAAAAGCGCTATATCAAATGCAAGGATTATTATTATTATTATTAGAGGGGGTGGGAGTGTGTAACACGGAGAGAGAGAGGGTGGGAGTGTGTAACACGGAGAGAGAGAGGGGGGAGTGTGTAACAGAGAGGGTGGGAGTGTGTAACACGGAGAGAGGGGGAGTGTGTAACACAGAGAGAGGGGAGTGTGTAACACAGAGAGAGAGGGGGGAGTGTGTAACAGAGAGAGGGGGGGAGTGTGTAACACAGAGAGAGGGGGTAGGAGTGTGCAACACACAGAGAGGGAGTGGGAGTGTGTAACACAGAGAGAGAGGGGAGTGTGTAACACAGAGAGAGGGGGGGGAGTGTGTAACACAGAGAGAGAGAGGGGAGTGTGTAACACAGAGAGAGGGGGGGAGTGTGTAACACAGAGAGAGAGGGGGTAGGAGTGTGCAACACACAGAGAGGGAGTGGGAGTGTGTAACATGGAGAGAGAGAGGGGGAGTGTGTAACAGAGGGGGGGGGGAGTGTGTAACAGAGAGAGAGGGGGGGAGTGTGTAACACACAGAGAGGGAGTGGGAGTGTGTAACACGGAGAGAGAGAGGGGGAGTGTGTAACAGAGAGAGAGAGGGGGTAGGAGTGTGCAACACACAGAGAGGGAGTGGGAGTGTGTAACACGGAGAGAGAGAGGGGAGTGTGTAACACAGAGAGAGGGGGGGGAGTGTGTAACAGAGAGAGAGGGGGGAGTGTGTAACACACAGAGAGGGAGTGGGAGTGTGTAACACGGAGAGAGAGAGGGGGAGTGTGTAACAGAGGGGGGGAGTGTGTAACAGAGAGAGAGGGGGGGAGTGTGTAACACGGAGAGAGAGAGAGGGGGGAGTGTGTAACAGAGGGGGGGGGAGTGTGTAACACAGAGAGAGAGAGGGGGGAGTGTGTAACACAGAGAGAGGGGGAGTGTGTAACGGGGGGGGGGGGGAGAGTGTAAGACACAGAGAGAGAGGGGTGGGATTGTGTAACACACACAGAGGGGGGAGTGTGTAACACATAAGAGAGGGGGGGAGTGTAACACACAGAGGGGGGAGTGTGTAACACAGAAAGAGAAGGGGGGAGTAATAGAGAGAAAGAGAGGGGAGTGTGTAACATATTGAGAGAGGGGGGAGAGTGTGTAACAGAGAGGGAGGGGGGGGTTGTGTAACACAGAGAGAGGGGGGAGTGTGTAACACACACAGAGAGAGGGGGTGGAAGTGTGTAACACAGAGAGGGGCGAGTGTGTAACACACAGAGGGGGGAGTGTGTAACACAGAGAGAGAGGGGGGAGTGTGTAACACAGAGAGGGGGGGAGTGTGTAACACACACAGGGGGCGAGTGTGTAACACACAGAGAGAGGGGGGAGTGTGTAACACAGAGAGAGGGGGGGAGTGTGTAACACAGAGAGAGAGGGGGAGTGTGTAACACATCGAGTGTGTGTGTTACAAAGAGACAGAGGCAGTTACTTAATGAGAGTGTGTTCCCGAAAGAATGTGCATGTGTTTCTGACAGTTACGTATTGAGAGTGTGTGTTACGGCGTGCGTTTGTTCTTGAGGAGAGTGTGTGTGTTACTGAGAGAAAGGGTGAGTGCGTTACGGAGTGTGTGTGTACGTGTTACAGAGTGTGTCCGTGTTATTGAGAGCGTTTCAGAGAGAGAGAGAAGTTTATTGAGAGAGAGAGAGAGAGTGCCTTTGCCTTCCCGGAGGTCATCAGCAGTGTCCTAGACACACTTAGCTTAGGAACTGGCCTACCGAGTCCGCCAAGAGAGTTTTTGGTCTGTGATCTCAAGCCCTTCCTTCACACCTGCTCAGTGGTCCTCATTTTTGTAAAGCGCTCAGAGATGTGACAATTATTATACGTTCAGAAAGGAGCACACTTTAAGAAGTTCTCCTGTATTGATGGACATGGTGATACTTTCCTTGTACCGGTTCCATTTAAATAACATAAGATTTCCCATGACCAAGCAAGTCATAAAGAGACCAACACTTTTTCTTTTAATTTTCAGTCAAGTTATTTTTCAATATTTCACTGAAATTTCACCTCTGGCTTCATTATTTCTTGCCATGCTGCAGAGGCGGGGGTGGGAAGGGAGAAAGATCAAATGTTTCTGTGTGTGTAGTAAATATTGAATTTATATGCCAATTATAAGACTTGGCGACTTACAGAAAAAGCCTGAATGAAGCAGACAGAACGCCTTGGAATACAAATTGAGGTTTTCTGCGGGTTGTAAACTGATGTTTCTGCACAGTTCTCTTGACACAGTTAATTCCTTTTGCGATTTTGATAGAAAGCTCCAAATGGGTGGAATACATTTATCAGGCTGCACTGTTGTTTCACAGGTGTTCAAATCCTGGTGCAAAACACTCACATTAAGCGGTTTGTAGTGTGAAATACGGGTAATATGTAGCGCTGTTTCTAAGATGTACATCTATGGTAAGAGCCTTTTATTTTCTCGAATAGCAACCACAACCCACCTATTTTTGTGGGTGAGTGCACAGTATTTACCTATAATTGTGCTTTTAATAACCTCAATATTTTACTTTTATCGCTTTGCTTGGCAGATTATTCCACATTTAAACATTATGAAGTGTTTTCCTGATATCTAGGTACTTTTCACTATTTTCCATTCAAATCCACCGTTTGTACTTTCTTGGCTTGCTATGGGACTAGCGTCTGAGTTGGACTTATCTATAATTGTAATATTTTATATACTTTTGTGAAGTTCCCCTTTAACCCTAGTTTCAGGCTGTAAAGATAGTTTCTCTAATCACTCTGCAGAGCTCCGCACTAGAGTTGCAATGCTGTCATGGTAAATTTTAGGGAAAATCCTGGATTAATCATGCTAAAATGTCAGAAGTCAAGGCAATCCTGAGGAGCCACAGATGTGTTTTTGGGGTCACCAAACCACTTTTATTTTGCTGTGTTTTTTTTTACAGATATGCCTTGGAAATTGGAGACATTTGAAATAAGTGAAACCCTTGCCAGAGTGCAGTACTGAATAGGAACATTTTATGTCTTTTCCTCGGTTTAGACACTCCTCCGCTCGCCCTCTCCTCGGTTACCTCCTGGCTGCATGTCTCCCTACCCTCTACACCTTCAATTCCTTCCCTCTACCCCTCTGTCTCGCCTCCCACCCTTATCAGTCTTTTAGCCATTCTCTCCTCTCCTCGCTGTCCAAACCCGTCTTTGTAAAGCACTCAGATGTTATGCTATGTAAAGTTGGTATGCAAATGCAAGTTATTGTTTTAGAAGCTATGGACACTTTATTGGATGACCAGTAGTTTCATTACTGAACAAATTTTAAAAAATTGGATTAAAAACAGTCTCATCTTAGAAGCATATTATAGGGTAATTAATACCTTTTTAACTGGCTGAATGATCACTTAAACAGGGATCAAAAGGATAAATAGTTTGGGCATCTTGCAACCGCAAGCTGATTGACAAGCTTGTCTGGCTGTATTATATTACTTGGTATAATGTGAAGGCTGTTTCCATGAAAATTTTATTTCATGCTGGCATTTAAGTGCTCCAAGACGCTACCATGCGTGAAGGGCGCTATATAGATGCAAGTTGTTATTTGTTGTTGTTGTTATGTCTATCTGGATAAGTTGCTGTGGACAGCGCTCAAATATAGACTAGAATCATATTTTGAATACATGTGTTTATCTTTTGTATCTTTCCATCATTAACAGAAGAGAAAAAAAAGTCGAATTTGGGATTACTGTAGAATGAGATCTCTGAGAGAGTGAAATGTTTAGACTGATAATAGATATCGGCAGTTATGCCACAGAAAGCTTCTAAGTATAGGAAATGTTTTTGTGTTTTTTTTGAGACAAAGTATACTCTACCATGCCAGCAGCCCTTCGATCAGTGAAGGGTTTTACACTGTATCTGCTAAAGTAGCTCTTTCATAAGTCCAGTAACCGTCCACCTCCAAGTTTTCACTTTGGGCTTGAACCTAGAGGTGAAGAGGATTTACCTACTGAGCCAAATAATAATAATCTTTGCATTTGATAAAGCACTTGGTTACATCAAACATCTCAAGATTTTCTATAAAGCTTAAAGACTGTGTACTTGTAGGTGAACAGCCAATTTGTGCACAGGAGTGTCCCACAAACAGTCACAAACTGAATGATCATATTTTTTTCCCCTGCGGGGGATTAGTGGCCAGATCATTGGATGCAAGAAATATAATATTGACGCACTTATCCACCTGTCTTCAATATTCTTAACATTTGTCTTTCCTTTGTGTCCTACATGATTTAGTTGCTAACCTACAGTATCCACACATAATCTTTCCGAGGATCAGGGAAAGTCAATATCACATAGAGCACTCTATTGAAAGGTTCCCAGTGAGAATATTCACACTTAGCTCCCAGCACACTGGCCTAAGACAATGTGAATTTTAAAAAAATCAATTAGTGAGATTGCATCTGCACTCAATTACACAGCTATTAAATTCTAAATCTTCAACAGACAATTTTAGCAGGCAACAGTGAGCTCTCGCTGATTCTAGCGTTGTGTACGAGGAGAGCTTTACATGGACACAGAAATTTTCAGCACAGAACCAACTTTTCAGCCCATAATTTATATAACTGCTGCTTGTTTTTCTGTATCACCCATTTATTTTACTAATGCCACTTGCCAGCTCTTTCCCCATAATCCCTTAATATTTGTACGTCTTGGGTTTTGAAGACCTGTCCCACAAGACAGCCTATTGCTGTCGCTCGATCAATGCTGATTTATTTTTCCTTATTATTATAATATATACAGTATACCTAAGCGGTTAATAAATCCCTGAAAAAAAATTAATTAGGTCACTCATTCCACGATTGTTTGTTGGGCAATTGGCTGCCGCGTTTTGCCCACAAAATATACAGTCAATTCACTTTACAGTGTATTCTGTGAAGCGCTTTGAGATGTCTCAATGACGTGATAAGGCAGGAGGGAAGAGTTCAGATTCTAGGGCAGGGGTGACCTGTATAGGACGCTAACTTTCCAAGGGATGAAATGCATCCTGTCAAACTAGAAATGGAAAACCAAGAAGTTGAATCGAATTGACAGAAAAGGGGAGAGCCCCAAATTCAAACCAAGAATTTGAATCGAAAGGGGCTCTCCCCTTTTCTATCAATTCGATTCAAATTCTTTGTTTTCCATTTCCAGTTTGACAGGATCCAATTCATGTGAGTACCAAGGTTTTGAGTTCAGAGTAGGAATAGTTAATAAAGCTGAAATAAACTGGGTCTAATAAAATAAAGAACTTAAGATCAAAGTTTGAAAAATGGGGAATGTCATCATGAGGAATATTGCAGAACAAAATAGAAGAAATAACCAGAAAAAGAGCAATGTGTCTTGAAATAAAAAGAGAAATGGAACGAGTTTAAAGAAGAAGAAATGAATCTGGAAGCAAACTAAATCAGAAAGTTGTGGAACTAGACCAGAGAGGGAAAAAAGACTAGAGGAGGGAAGATGTACAAGATTTCTTTAAGAAATCTCTTTAAGAAAGAGCTAATGAAAATAAAGGGATTCTGGAAAGGCAGTGGGGCAAGACTGGACTGTTGTGAGTTCAGAATATAGGAGGTACTTAATGTACCAGTGTTGTGGGTTGACGCTCATAAACAAATGACAATGCTGAATTGTGAACCATGTCAACTTGGGAACTTGTACCAGAGAGCAACCAGAGCCCTTGGAACCGCACTCAAGCGAGCTCAGACCAGGAACCATGAGTGGGTGAACGGGGAGAGAGAATTAGATGAAATAATCAAACATGCGAAATGTTAAATACGATTGATTTGATCATGTAGAAATAGAACATTAACTTAACTTGCCTTGTAAAACAGCTGTGAGTAGGTTGATTCAAAATTTCATTTTCTACCGCTCAACCCTGAACAAAGATTTCATTTTTTTTTGGTGGGGGGGTGGAATCTTTACTCATAGTTTGAAGTCTCATCCACTTTGTTTTCCTTCTGGTCTGTTTCTTCGTTTTGCAATATTTCAACCAGTCAAGTGGCCTGCGGACAGACACGGCCAAGGTTCACACCATTCGGTCACTCACACCCAGGTCTCATTCTCACTTCTGTCTCATATTTACCCTCCCTCTCTCATCCTCAGCTATCATCTCATTCTCCCTCTTTCCCCCCCTCCCACCTCCATCTGGGAGTTCCAGAAACAGTGTGACAGTCATGCTGGGTGGTCATGTCACTAAAATCTGCAGCTCTTTTTCTGACTCGAGCACATTTTCTGAGATATTTATTAGATATCTTTGACACAATATGTGCTCTATACAACCAACACTTTGCCCACAAAACATACAGTCAATTCACTTTACAATATATGCTGTGAAGCACTTTGAGACGTCTCAAAGACGTGACAAGGTGCTATATCAAATGCAAGGATTATTATTATTATTAAAGTAACTGATGCCTGTGCACAGTTCCAGAGATGGCACGTAATGGTTTTAAAGAGGTTCTGTTTCTTATTTTGTTTTTGTTGCCTTAGGTTTAATGGTTGAAATCCTCAGTTAACTGATTATTTTTAAACAGTTATGCTATCCAATTTCATAGCGGTTTTGTCTGAACTTACAATATGTGTTATAATATTATCTTTTCAGTAATTGAACTTTAGCCAAGGTTTATTGATTCAACAGTCATACTTTGTTCTCTAACCAGTGGCGCATTTCATTGCTTTAGCTCGACTCACAAATAACATTGAAACAGAACCGCTCCAGGCAGAAAACGCTAGCCGGTCAGAAATTGTCAACCCGGCAGAAGAAGCAGAGAATCCACAACAATTTAACCTTCGAGTGAATGGAGTTTTCTATAACGGTAAAGACAGCTTTTGGAAAATCTATCTCTCTGACTGTGGCTACGGTCACTTCCCACTCCCCTCCTATGACAATAATAACAACAAAATTACATTTGTATAGCCCCTTTCACATTGGGAGGATGTCCCAAGGCGCTAGACAGTCAGTGTTTCGGACCCGAGCTGGGAATTGGGGAGGGTGGATGGCAAGGAGGGAAGCGGGGTGATCGAAAGCACGGTCGAAGAGGAGGGTCGAGATGGGGGTGATAGAGTCCTACTCACCCGTACTATACAGCATATACAGTCAATTCACTTTACAGCATATTTTGTATTAAACTCCATACCCCTGTCACAACAGTTCTAGCCAGACTCCACTGGCTCCCTATCGCCGAACAAATGGATAGATTTCAAGATCCTCACATCATTTTCAAATCCCTGCATGCCCTGGCACCTGGCACTCTTAGTGTCATGCTCCGCCACTGTTTTTGCTCGGTTTCCGGCACTGTCTCTGTGAAGGCTTTTGTGAACGGCGTTGAGTTTCATGTCGGGAAGACGTCTGAAAGTGCTTCACTTGATTTATTGTAAAGTGTAATGACTATTTTGTAGGTGAAAGTGACAGCCAATTTGGACACAGCAGTGTCCCACAAACAGCCATGAAGTGAATGACCAATTTTATCTAAGGGATTATTGGCCAAGATGCTGGGAGAAACTCCCTTCTCTTTTCAAATAATGCCATAGGATTGTTAACAGATAGATGGGACCTTGGTTTAACATCTCACTTGAAGGCGGCATTTCCAACAATGTAGCGCTCCCCAGCACTGTATTGGAGTATCAGCCTAAACTAAATTCAGCCTAAACTTAAAATCCCAGTGTGGGGATTCAAGCCTCGATTTGCTGGTTCAGCGGTGAGAATGCTACCAACTGACCAGGCGGCCTCATGATATAAAGTTCATATTGCCTAGAGGGTTTTCCCTGTAAACAGAACATTTCTCTCGAGACAACATGACACACATGCAAAAACAATTTTTTGCATGGTCTCCTTTTTATTGTCAAGATTGTACAAAGTATTGATTGCTGCCTATGACGTTAATGGAATGTTTTGCAGTCGGTGCTTAGTATTCAGCAATTTCTCTTTTCTGAGTTTATAAAATGCAGAAAAAAGTGTCTTTATAGTTGTTTGTGTTTAACAATGACATTATCATTTTGAAATCTCACCGTTAACCGTGTCCTGGACAACAATCCGCCAATTAAAGTTGGTCATTCACTTCATTTTGGGACATTGCTAATTATTATTGTTGTTATTGCTGGAGCGAATTGGCTGCCGCATTCACCTACAAAGTACGCAGTCACTTCACAGTCATTTTGTGAAGCGCTTTAGACGTCCTCCTGATGTGAAAGGGGCTGTACCAAATGCAGGAATTAATTATTATTTCCCTTCATGGTTTCTTGTCATTATTCAGACCTGTTTTGTATTTTCTGCCAATCTTTAAAACAGTCAAAGATGAGGACCCGCAGATGCCTCTCAGTGAATACCTGCGCTCCGTCCTCCAGCTTCGTGGAACCAAGACCATGTGCCATGAAGGTGGCTGTGGGAGCTGTATTGTGGTGGTTGAATGCGACAACCCAATAATGCCTGGAAGAGTTGTCAAGGCAATCAATTCGGTAAGGCCACAACTAGTCAATAATGTCCTGGTTTTCATAGCTGGGGTTCAGCGTGATTTACTACAACTAAAACCCAATTTATTCTTTAAAAGGGAGATAAATCAATACTTGGGAAGCAAGGGTAACACTATTAAGTGTGAGGAAATAGGGTTATATGATCTGTCATGATGTAATAAACTGGTGGAATAGGCTCGATGGGCTGAATGGCGCCTCCTATTCCTACACTCTATTTTTGAAATGGAGAGCATTATATAATGCCCAGGGATATAGTACACGTAGAGTGTAATACGCAGGAAGTGATATCAGTGACATCCCAGAAGTTGGCCATTTTAGCCCATCGCTTATAACATAGCCTTTGAGTTGTTGGACTCAGGGCACTGTGTTGTAGCGAGGTTCCCTATAATAATAATAATAATATATAATAATAATATGAAAGAAAAAGATAGAGATATAAAAAGAAAAATAGGTCAACATTTCTGGTGTGTCCCTTCGGCCTATTTATTTTTTATCAGCTGCTCATTGATCTGCTGTGGGTTTCCAGTATTTGTGTTTCTTCATTTTATTCCTGCATTGTAGTTCTTACTTGTGGATCTTTCATGGCTACAGCTCTTCAAAGATGATTTTCCCATCCAAATAAATTTGAATGTAAAATTGGGAGTGGAATAATGTTATTAACTGCCACAGCACACGCAGGACCTGCTGATAACATAGTTTGGTGAACTTTGCATTTTGTTGTCTCCCGTCAAACATGGAAAGCTGATTGAACACCCAGAATCCATGAACTATCATAACATTATGAGGTGCAATAGTAGCACTGCTATTCTTGCCTATCAACGCATTGATCCTTAGCTTAACTCAGGTTTGAGGTCTTTCAATTATGCCCACCTTATTATTTTTGTAACATTGCATGTCTGGGACTCAGAGAATCTTAGATTGTCGTTGAGTGCATTTGTGAGACACAATTTAAATCAGAAAACTATGTATAGTGAGAAAACATATAAGAAAAGAGATAGAGGTGAGAAATCCAGAGAAACGGTGAAGCAAGTGAGAATTCCGGACAGTATCTACAAAGAATCTCTATATATGGTTATAATAGAGGCAGATGGCAACTTTTCACATCTCTATCTTGTCTATCGACAAAATACAATAATACTAATAATTCTTGCATTTGATATAGCACCTTATCAATTCATTGAGCCATCTCAAAGTGCTTCATAGGATATTCTTGATAAACTTCATAAACACAGGAAAATTCAACTTAAATATTTATTACTATGTTTCTTCATCTCCAAAATATTTGCCAAAGTAACAGATTATCCTTTCATAATATTCCGTTGTGAAGGCATCATTGAGATATATGGTATGCTGCATTAATAGTGCTCCGAGACACTATCCTTGCTATTTAAATGGAAGTTGCAGTTTTAGCACATGTCCACAATCTGCTCTGATGGGTTTTGGCATGTGTCAGACACCCGGCTGACCAAAAANCCACTATGGTTGAAGCAGAACACATTAATGTGTGTAAGAGAACTTGATGCATACATGAGGGAGAAAGGAATAGAGGATTATAGGAGAGCGTGGTTGTTTGAGTGGATTATAAGCACCAGCACAGACTAGTTGGCCTGTTTCCATGTCGGATCTCTCTGTGTAACTTTATGTAACCTTAATGGTTCTTATATGTTCGTATTTTGCAGTGTTTATGTCCAATTGGCTCCCTATTGTCAATGAAGAACCATCAGGTGATAACAGTGGAGGCATTGGGGTCAGTAAAGAAGGGTTTACACCCCATTCAACAGCGCCTGGCAGATTACAATGGAAGCCAGTGTGGGTACTGCAGTCCAGGCTTTGTCATGCAGATGTATGGGTAAGTACAGAAAAATACATGTGCTTGATGGTTCCTGAAATCGTAGAATCATAGAATTATGCAGCATAGAAGGAGGCCATTCGGCCCATCATGTCTGTGCCGGCTCGTTGAAAAAGAGCTATCCAAGTCAATCCCACTCTCCCGCTCTCTCCCATTAGCTGTGCAAACTTGTCCTCCCCAAATAATTATCTGATGGAAATGTGCTTTTCCATTTTTGAATATATATGATTTTAAGATTTGCCTTCATTATTTGCCAATGATTTGTAATCTCCGACCATTTTTTTCAAATAAATCAATTTTTAGTTCTTATTTCTCCTCAGAGTATTGCTTGTTTTACTTTTTCAAAAAATATATATTTTTATTTCTCTGCTACTTCCTAGAAATAACTCCCCTGTCATATAATTTATATTTGGCACATAGTAATATAGACAAAAAAAACAAAGTTCATCTAGTCTGCCTTCTACCATCTTGCTAGTCTCATGCTAGATGGAGATGTTACAAAAATAAGACTGCCTAGTTAACGCCAACTTTGGGACTAATGTCAGGCTGGCTCAGTTGGGTAGCAATCAAACTACTGAGTCAGAAAGTTATGGGTTCAAGCCCTAGATCAGAACTTTGAGCTCATAATCTAAACATAGCTTCGGCCTGTTCCACATCTCCTGCCCGGCTTCACCGCACCATCGGGCCTTCAGCTTCTCTGCCCCCACCTTTTGGAACTCCATCCCACAGTCCCTTCACGTTGCTCCCTCCCTTGTCTCCTTCAAAGCATGTATCAAGACCTCCTCTTTGACCGCGCATTCGGCCACCCTCCCTGCCTTCCACTTCCCATCGATCCCAACCCCCTGATCGGGTCCAAATCCCTAACTGTCCAGTGCCTTGGGACGTCCTCCCGACATGAAAGGCAGTTTACAAATGTAAGTTATTGTTGGTGTTGACATTCCAATGAGGTGCTGGTGGAGTACTGGATTATCAGAGAAGTTGGTCTTCAAACGAGGCATTATACTGAGCTCCCGTCTGCCTGTTTAGGTGGATGTTAAAGATCTCGTGGTACTATTTGAAAAGTGAAGGGAATTTCCTTTGATGTTCTGAGCAGATAAAATTGGTTATTCATTTCATGGCTGTGTGTGGGATATTCCTATGTGCAAGTTGGCTACAGTATTTACCTACAAATGCACACTCATTATATTTTGGAGTAAATTCTGTGAAGAGCTTTGAGACGTTTCAGTGATATGATAAGGCCCTATTACCAAATCCAAGGATTAGTATTATTGTAATTCTAGCAGAATACATCTGTAAGTATTAAATTAATTTTAGATGGCTTTGCCAAACACATTTTGACCTGATGTATATACTTGGGTCCTGTGGGTGATGTTAGTTAACCATTATTTCAAGACTTGTCAGTTCCTCCATGGTCTATATAGCATTCTTCTCCTATGTGGTTTGGATTTAACTAAGTATCTCAAGTGTTGGAGCAATGCAGATGTAGCTGATGTAGTTAACTTTCTGGTCAGAAGATGGAGGTAGAGTATTGTTCAAAGTGGTCTAACAAGACCGTCTCTCCAAGTGAACAAAGGTCATCAGGGTTTTGTGGATCTGTAAACGTTAAGTTCAGTCTGAATCGCCATATGATTGCACGAGCAGTTTGTGAGGAACAAACTGGTTGGAGGTCCTTCTTACTTTAGTCATGAAAGCAGGTGGCTGATTTTAATGAGTAGTAAGGAAAAACTGAAAGAATACGTTTAAAGTGTTCAAATGTTTTCAACCAGAGCCTTTGACTAGGTAACATGGCTAGATGTGTTTTCCTTAGATTTTTGAGGGACTGCGGGAAGGTGTTCCAGAGGGTGGGGGCAGAGTGGCTGAAGGCTCGCCCGCCAGTGGTGTAGCAGGTGAGTCAGGGGACATGAAGCAGCCCGGATCTCGCTGAGCGGAGGGAGCGGGCAGGTTGGTAGAGAGTTAGGAGATCGCAGAGATAGGGGGGAGCAAGGCAAATATCTAGAGTTCAGATGATTACAACAGGCATCCCCAGGAGATCAGATCTGTAATGGAGGACTGTTTGCACACAGGTCTTGTATGCCTCAAGTTTGACCTGCATTGTGACCTTTGCTTCCTTGAAGAGAAATGGGCATGACCAGAGTGTACTTCACCCCTTCTCAGCATAATCCTTCAGGACAGTGTCCAGGCTGAAGTTGGTGTGCCTTGAAAAAGGGGAGGCCAGAAGGCTACTGGTGAGAGAGTGAATTGGAGGAACTCTGGGATGGAGTTCCAGAGAGCGGTTGTCGGGTGCCAGAAAGCCTGCCCACCAATAGTAGACCTTATAGGCTGGGGGACACGATAGCCTGATTTCTTTCTTCTGGATTCTGTGTGAGTTTGAGGGTTAAATCCTTAGGCCGTTCACTGGCCTTTGCAGAGTCTCATGTATTGAGAACCGGTTAGGTTCCCATGTGAGCTGAAACCATCTTCTTTTGCACAAGGCAATGGGAATTTGTCCAGAGAATGTGTAGAGAATTGTGAAGCTTTGACCCTTGATAGGTTGGAGGGAATAAGGAACAAGTCATGGACTAGAGTCAGAACAGCAGAGGCCGAAGGAGATTGTAGCAGGTGGAAGGACATGAATTTGAACGACAGAATGATTATCTTGAAGTTGATTTGCTGAGGTAGTGGGAGCCTATAGAGCTGAGAATGGATGGGGTTAATGGGCTTGTTGATCCTGGTGTGGGAGAGAACATGGGCAGTGGAGATTTGTATGAGATGCAACTGATGGAGAGTGGAGCTACTGAAGCCAGAGAGGAGAGATGATGAGAAATGAAGCCTCAAATTAACAGAAAGCAAGATGAAGGTTTCAGTTGTGGTTGCTAGTGGGACAGACATGCAAACAGGCAATGTTTCAGAAATGGAAGATGGCGATCTGTGTAAGAACCGTAAGTAGGTTTGAAACAGAGCTGAGAGTCAAACGAATACCCAGGGTTACATACTGGTTTAGCTAGCTGGAGCAAGCTCTCAGGAAGGCTGATTGAATTGAGTCCGAGGCCAGAAAACTACTGGTGAGAGCAAAAATGGATGGTTTCAATTTTGTTGATGTTCAGCTGAAGGAAGTTGAGGCTGAAGGAAGTTAATGCTCAAGGAAAAAAAGTGACTATCTGAAGGATACCTACAGTGTAGCATTTGACCTCCTGGCAAAATGTTTAATTTAAATATTGGTGCTTCAAAATTTAGGCAAGAAAGTGTTGAAATGTTTGCCAAAGCGAAATCAACACATTATCTGCCAAGGAGCGAGTTCCATTGTTTGCCATCAGATGACTGACTGCAGATTAACAAACATCCCTAAGCATTAATTCATGCAGTATGTGTCTAATGCTTTCCAGGATTAAGTGAGCAGTGTGCGCCCCTCAGGGGAGAGCGTGCTCATTCCATTTCAAACAAAGAGAAACTTCTGTACACATGTAGAATTCTCAGCATGGTTTGGATATTCTTAAGCATGGTGATGGGTTTCCCCATGTGTCAGACACCTGGCTGTCCCCCAAAAAATCAGCGATTTAAGTGGGCATGTACCAAAGATGCTCACCATCAGGAAAACATTAACTTCAGCAGAAAGTCAATGTAAGCAGACTGACTCCCTAATCCAGCAAAATTGATCAATGGTTAAACAAACCTAAATTAGTCCAGTCACAGGTCTGTTCACTCGATAGGATACCAGTTAACTTAAATTCTTAAATATAGTGTTTTTCTAAGTGTCGTAAGCCATTCTATGGTATTGTGAAGGATTTGGTTTCAATACTGCATTGCTTTTGCTAGTTTATCTCAGGTGTCCCTCCTTTCAGTTCTGGGCAAGATGACATCTCTATGAGTTGCACTATAATGTACCCTAATTTCACATCATTTTGACTAATGAATAGGTATGCATGTTACGAAACGTCATTGGGTTAAAAAAAACTCATGGAGTCAGAAGAGAGTATTTGTGTTCAATTTATACATTTGCTGCTTGGGGTTTCTGTTGCTTTTTTTTGCAAAACATTTTATCAAATATGATTTTATATAATATCTATTATTCTGAGCTGTCCTTTCTCCCTCACATCCGCACCACAACTGGCACCGCCTTCCATCACCTCCGGAATATCGCCAGATTACGGCACTACCTCACCCCTCACGCTGCTGAAACCCTGGTTCACGCCTTTGTCACCTCAAGGCTGGACTATGGGAACTCTCTCCTCGCCGGCCTTCCGGCACCTCCCTCCACAAGCTGCAGGTCATTCAGAACTCTGCAGCTCGTGTACTGTCCCGCACCAGGCTTCGGGACCACATCACTCCTACCCTCGCTCGTCTCCACTGGCTCCCATCCCCCAGAGGATTGATTTCAAGATCCTCATCCTCACCTACAAGGCCATTCACGGCCTTGCTCCCTCCTACCTCTCCAACCTACTATCCCCCTACCTACCTGCCCGTAACCTCCGTTCCTCTGGCTCCGGTCTGCTCCACGTCCCCCGCCCCAACCGCCCTACTATCGGTGGTCGGGCCTTCAGCCTCTCAGCCCCGAGGCTCTGGAACTCCATCCCCCAGTGCCTTCGCCTTGCTTCCTCCCTTTCCTCCTTCAAGGCCGGTCTCAAAACCTTTCTCTTTGACCGTGCCTTCAGCTCTCGACTCTCTTCCTCCTCCTCGCTCCCTCCCTTCCCTCCCCTCACCCTGACCATTTCCCCCCTCCTCGCTCCCTCCCCTCCCCTGACCATTTCCCCCCTCCTCTCTCCCTCCCTTCCCTCCCCTCACCCTGACCATTTCCCCCCTGCTCGGGTCATGACCCAACTGTGCAGCGCCTTGGGACGTCCTCCTGACGTGAAAGGCGCTCTATAAATGGAATCTTGTTGTTGTTGTTGTTGTTGTTGTTGTTGTTGTTGTTGTTGTTATTCGCCTGCAAATCACTTCAGTCACTGCAGTTTGCAATAAATCCAATGAAGTGCTTTGAGATGTTTTGACAACTTGATAAGGTGCTATATCAAACGCAAGGTTTTTTTTATTGTTATGTGGCAAAGCACAGATAGGATTTCAAAAAAATCTATAAATGTTTAGCAGATATTTTGTTACAGTACTGAAAAAGCAATGTTTTTTTTAAAGCTGAATGAGACTTTATAATGAAAAGTTGACCTCTGAATACTTGAGCACACTTTGATGTTTAACTGCATATATGCTTGTTTGCTACCACAAAGGATGTTTTAAAATGATCACTGTGATGTTGCATAAATCACAGAAAACTTTAATGACGGAACTCTCAATTTAGAATGAAGCATGACTTTTGACTGAAATAGTACAAATTCTGATGGTTCTGGTGCATAGTTTCAATATTCCCTCTCTCTTCCTCAGGTTTCTGAAGAACAATCCATCTCCCAGCTCTCAACAAGTGGAGGACAACTTTGATGGCAATGTCTGCAGATGCACAGGTTTGTGAGTTCTTCAGCAGGCAGGAATTTGAGGGAAATAAATAATTTATTTGGTATCTTTGAACTAGTTTGCTCTGACTTGAAGGTTTTTCTTCATACAGTTTTGTTGACTTGAGAAGTTGAAAGTTGAGTAAGCTAAAGGCAGTGGATGATCTAATGGAGGTTTTCGAGATTATCCAATAATTCACACTGTTTGCTTATTCGAAATGAAGCCTGCCCCAATTAGTGCAGGGTATCTTTAGAATCATAGAATCGTACAGCACAAAAAGAGGCCATTCGGTCTCTGATCCTCTTATTGATTTTTATTTTTGTACTTTGATTTTGCCCAGTTTCTTACAAAATTCTATAGGGTTATCCAAACCACACATCAGGCATATTACTTGATCCTGATCATTATCCATAGAGCTGGAAACTTTACAATTTTCAGTGATAGGAGAGCGATTGTAAATGGGAATCTTGGCTAATTTTTCTCTGAACCCAGAATTACGGAAGACAATTATTATAATGCCGCAGCTATTGTGTTATTTGAGATTACCTTATTTACTTGAATCTAAATCACAAGATCACAGCCTTGTTTGGATTAAGCCTTTAGCGCATCCGATCTCATCCTTCCAGAACACCCATCCTACCATTTCCCTACAACAGCATCAAGCTGTTTTTTAAAACCTGAGGCATATGCTCGTTTTGGAGGATCTTTTTAAATCAAAAACTACAAATACAATACAGAAAACTGTGCCTTGGATTCAAATATATATTTATATACAAATATATCACTCGCACCAAACTCCGCTCCCCGATCACTCCAGTCCTTGCCAGACTGCACTGACTGCCTATCCCAGAGAGGATCGATCTCAAGATCCTCACCCTTGTATTCAAATCCCTCCACTCCTCTGCATCCCCTACCTCTCTTACCTCCCCTCTCCTCAAAACACCACCCGTTGCCTTCGATCCTCCGGGTCTGGCCTCCTCCTCGTCCCCTGAGTCCTCCGCTCCACCCTCGGCGGCCGTGCCTTCACCCCCTCTCTTCCTACTTTCAGGTCCCTGCTGAAGACCTTTCTTTTCGACCGCACCTTTAGTCACCTTCCTACCCCTCCCCCTGGCTCGGTCCCAGGATTCGTTACTGTGAAGCCCTCTGAGACACCGTCCGGCGTGGAGGGTGCTATATAAATCCAAGTTGTTGTATATGCATATAATGGCTAATTTAGCACAGAGAAAGGATGGAACCTGGGATCTCATTGATCTCTTTGGCAGAGTCTCTCCCTCAGCAATTACGTCAACAACTGAGGCATCAGCAGAGCAACTCCTTTCATACGTTGAACAGAATGAGAGGAACTTTCACTATTGAGCCACTGTGAAGAATGTCGTATCAGTTCAGTTTGATAATTTGATATTCTTTAATTGGTAAATGTAGGATATCGATCTATCCTCGATGCCATGAAGTCTTTTGCCAGGGATACTGACGTGGAGAAGCAGGAATCTGTAATTGACATTGAGGTAAAGCAGAAACAGTCTCTAAAGCTGAGTACTAAATTGCATTTTATTATTTTCCCGATTAGGGGTCTGTATTATTCGGATTGTCCTACTGTGAAATGGCATTTTGATAAACAGTTGTGGGAATATTGTAAGATCCACGACCAATGCAAAGTCACACTCCTGCTTGCGATCATCTTCTATCTCATCTCGGGACCTTCCCTTGTCTCGGCTTATGTATGGTTTGGGAGAGTTAGCCTTTATGCCCCCACTCTTTGGAACTCCATCCCAGAGTCCCTTCACCTCGCTCCTACTCTTCAAGGTCCGTCTCAAGACCTTCCTCTTTGACCGCGCCTTCAGTCATCTTCCCTTCCCCCCCTAGACCCAACCGCTCACAAATCTAACCCCTAGAGCAGGTGCTCAACTGTCCAGTGCTTTGAAACTGTTTCCTGACAAGAAAGGTGCTACACAAATGCAATTTGTTGTTGTCATGTATGCGAAAATCCAGTTTAATAGTTTATTGCTGAGCTCCACAAATAACCACAAATTGCAAGCAACAACATCCCATGAAATACTGTTTTACCAACCAACCCCACCCGCCTACCAACCTACCAACCTGCCCGCTCCCTCCACTCAGCCGGCTCCGGCCTGCTCTACGTCCCCCGACCAACCCGCCCCACCATTGGTGGGAGAGCCTTCAGCCCGCAAGCTCTGGAACTCCATCCCCCAATTACTCCGCCTCGCCCCCTCCTTAACCTCCTTCAAGTCCCGCCTCAAAACCCTCCTCTTCAACCATGCCATTGGTCACCCCCCTTCCCCTCCCCTCCCTTCTGCCCCCCTGACCCCAGCTCGGGTCTGAAATCCTGTACACTGTCCAGTGCCTTGGGATGTCCTCCCGACGTGAAAGGAGCTATACAAATGTAATCGTGTTGTTTTTGTTGTTATACGAAAATGAAGATTCATGTACATAACAATAATGCAAAAGTGTGTTTTTATCCAGATTTGTTTCAGAATCATCTCTTCCTCTTGCTTAAAGGAACACTTTTATGTATTAAAAAAATCACCTGTTTTATTATTGCCTAATTGGAGTAATTGAAATTTTACACAAAGAATATCATGTGGACACGAATTTAAGATTGTGACTAGAGTATTAAAAAGAGAGGCTTGAAAGAGCTTCTTTTCTCAGAGTGTTGTCAGGGTTTGGGGAGTAACCGGACTAGCACCTTTGCGTTTACTGGGAAGCCTTGAGAGTTAATCCCACAAAGTGCAGTACTGCTAATTATTTTGCGTTTTACGAGCCAGTACTGAACAGTCTGGAGATGGGATTGTAAAAATGTATTGTTTTCATATCTAATTGGGATCCTTTGAGCAAACACACTTTAGAGAAAGCTTTCTCGCTCTTCATTACATTTTCCCTTTATTTACTGTCAGCTTGGCTAAAATGGTAGAACTCGTATCTCTGAGTCAGAAGGTTGTGGGTTCAAGCTTCACGTTGGGACTTACAACTTATATAGTCCAGGCTGACACTCCAGTGCAGTGCTGGAGGTGCCAACCTTTGGATGAGATGTTAAACCAAGGTCCCATCACCCTGTTCAGGTGGGCGTTAAAGATCCCATGGTGCCATTCGAAAAGAGAAGGGCATTTCTCCCAGTGGCTGGCCAAAAATTCCACAGATAAAATTGGTTACTCACTTCTTGTCTGTTTGTAGATATGCAAATTGGCTGCCACATTTGCCTATGAAATACACAGTCCTATACAGTAAAATGCTGCAAAGCTCTTTTTATCATCTTCCTGGCATGAAATGCACTACATTACTATATTAAATGCAGACCTTATTCTTATCTGTACTTGCTTGTGCTTTTTTTTGATATGTGTTCAAAGGATTTGCAAACTTGTCCCAGGACGAAACAGGCTTTCAATCAGACCTATTTGCCAAAAGAATTAAGTTGCGTTTGTCACGTGAAGAACACCAAAAAGGCGCTTTTCTCAAAGAATGACACTGAATGGTTCCAACCTACGACACTGACTGAGCTGTATTTGTTAGTGCACGAGCATGTCACTAAGGCTGTCAAACTTGTACACGGAGACACTGCAAAAGGTACCTTATGTCTTTGTTGGTCAACTTTTTCATTTCCTACATTGTTTGCTTTAAAGCTGAAGTGGCAATTCCTGCATTGTGGGGAAAAGTGTCTTTCAGGTGGAATATACAGGTGGAACTGCTGTGTGCAATCCAGTGCAGCAGTCCTTTCAATAAGCCATGTATACTGCGCAATCCCACAGATGCTACACAATTTAAAGTGACAACAGGCGCCTGCAGAAACATAATGGAACAAAAACCCCTTCTTCCTCCCACAATTGTTGCATTTGATATAGCGCCTTATTACGTTTTCAAGACGTCTCAAAGTGCTTCACAGAATATACTGTAAAGTGAATTGGCTGTTTATTTTGTGGACGAAATGCAGCAGCCAATTGCGCACAGCAGTGTCCCACAAACAGTCATGGATTGAAGTGAATTATTATTGTAGTCTGCAAGCCTTATTTCATAACTTAGAGCCCCAAATCGTTCTATTTTTACCTCAGAAGTGTCGACTTTATCTATGATATTGAACTCCCCCTTTCCCTTGATCACCTTGTAGAGTAATTCTCTGTAGCAAGCTTGCTGCTAAGTTATTAGAAATAATAATATTCCTTGCATTTAATATAGCACCATATCATCAGGGTTCCTGACCTCACCAAGCCAGTCAGGAACCTAGGCGTCTTGTTCGACCCTCAACTGTTCTTTCTCCTCCGCATCCCTGCCATGACCCGCTCTGCCTTCCCCCACCTCCGCAACATTACCCGACTCTGCCATTCCCTCAGGCTGCCGAAATCCTCATACACGCCTTCATTACAACCAGGCTCAACTACAAACTCCCTGCTTATTGACCTTCCCAACTCTTGCCTCCACAAGCTGTAGATCATCCAGAACTCTGCAGCTCGTACCTTCTACAGCACCAGGCACCGGGACCTCATCAAACCCACCCTCACTCGGCTCCACTGACTCCCCATCCCCCAGAGGATTGAGTTCAAAATTCTTATCCTCATCTTCAAGGCCACCATGGCCTTGACCCCTCCTACCTCTCTGACCTGCTAACCACTTATCAACCTGTCCGCTCCCTCCGCTTAGCAGGCTCCAGGCTGCTCCATGGCCCCCGCCCGGCCCACCCCACCATGGGTGGTCAGGCCTTCAGCCTCTATACCCCCACCCTCTGGAACTACACCCACATTCCCTTTGCCTTGCTCCCTCCCTTGCCTCCTTCAAGGCACGCTTCAAGACCCTCCTCTTCGACCGTATTTTTGGCCACCCTCCTACCCCCACCCTCCCTGCCCTCCACCCTCCCTGATCCCAACCCTCACCCCCCGCTTGGGTCCTAATCTCTGACTGCGCCTTGGGACATCCTCCCAACGTGAAAGGCACTTTACAAATGTAATGTTATATTGTATTGTGTCACGTCGTTGAGATGTCTCAAAGCGCTTCACAGAATATACTGTAAAATGGATTGACTGCATTTTGTGGGCGAGATGCCGATCATTAAATGAATCAGACACAGGCAGGAGAAGTATTACTTATTCACTTTCTGGTTTAGATTTTTTGTAGACATTGTTAATTGGAACATTTGTTCTCAGAAATCTAACTGTCTCTGACCATTAAGAAATAAACATGTTTCCTCTATTCACTATCTTTGTCACAGGAGTCTACAAGCAAGATGGACCTTATAATATCCTGATCGATGTGAAAGGAATCTCAGAACTTTACACAGTCACTATGGAAGAACATGGCTTAAAAGTCTACTCAAATGTCAGCCTCAGTACACTCATTGGTTCTCTGAAAAAGTTTTCCAATGAGTCACCATGCTACAGTACTATAGCTAATCTCTTGCTCAAGGTTGCTAACGAACCTGTGAGAAATGTAAGTTCAGTCTGTAGTTTTCTCCACCTTGTATTGTAAAAAGAAACCCTTCCCAGTTTTACAGTTATGTTGTTAAATTTTGCCGCTGAGGGCTTTCTGTTTAAATCTCTATTTACAGTGCTATTCTGACTTTTCTTTGATTGTGGGCTTATGCTACCCAAAACAAATTTTGTGGGCGTTTTGTCCACAAAATAAACAGTCAATCCACTTTACAATATATTCTGGGGAGCGCTTTGAGACGTCTCAACGACGTGATAAGGCACAATATCAAATGCAAGGATTATTACTATAATTATTATTGATTTACCACCCATCTGCAGCAGATCAAATTCAAAATGCTCATCCTTAATTTTAAACCCTTCCATGGTCTTACTCCACTCGGATACCTTCTCAAGCCTTATACCCCATCTGTTCCTCTGCTCAGCAGGTACTGGCCTGCTTCACATCCCTCGCTTGACCTGCCCCATCCAATGGAGGTCAGGATTTCAACCTATGTGCCCCCATTCTCTGGAACTCCATCGTGGCGTCCCTATGAGTTGTCCCTTCCCTTGCTTCAAGGTCCACTCAAGACTTCTCTCGTTGACTGCGCCTTTGGTCATCTTTCCCCCCTCCCCTCACCCCACCACTCTTGGCACCCACCCTCAGTTCAGCTGCAGATCCTAGACTGTCCAGTGCCTTGGGACGTTCTTCCAATGTGAAAGGTAGTAAACAAATGTAAATTTGTGTTCTTGTTTTCCCAGCAAATCTCTCCTAATTTCTGTTCCCTTTACCTTGGCAAACTTTCACATTGTTTTTCAAAATGTAGTTGTCTTCTATTTGTCCCTCTGTCTCATTATTATTATTATTATTGTTTCCCCTCAGAGAGCATCCCATGTAGAATCTTAGAATGTTATGGCAAGGTAATAGGCCATTTGGCCCATCAGGTCTGTGCTGATTTGTCTAAACGCAAAAAGGGCTTGTTCAGCACTCAGAGAATGAGGGTGCTTCCATCCTCTCTTTCTCTGAGTGCCGAACTACCCCTTCTCTGTGTGTTAAGAACAGTCAATAGACTGGCCTATTTTATCCTTATTCATGAGATCCATCTAGAAAATACACGGTCACTACACTTTACGGTATTTCCTGTAAAGCACTTTGAGATGACCACCTCTCGTGAAAGGCGATATATCAAATGTAATTTCTTAGTAAAGTAATAATTTATTTAATGAGACGGGCATTAATGACGCATTGGCGATTGATTGGAGGTACATTTTAAGTGATCTTGCAGTTGATCCCAAGCAGTTGTTTAGGCTCTGAGTTTGTTTTGTTATTCTATCCTGTATACTTTACGATCCTTTCAGAATTACATTGTAATATGTTTGTTTGCCGTTAATGAGTATAATACTCCTCTGTGAAGGATTAGCAAGAAATGTGCTCCAAACAGTAGGTCAGTACTTTACTGCCTGAAAATTTAGATCCTCTTTATTGATTGTTGTTCTGGCTGGGAAATCCCAAGATTTAACATCCCAGAGCAAGCACAGGTTTTGAGAAAGTGACCTTGAGTTTGTTTTATTTAACAATCTGCAGAGCAAACTCACTTGGGAGTTGGATTGAATGTGGACTAATGCTGTTGATGAACTCGCTGCTGTGTATGTAATTTTGTGTATGTTTTACACCGTGTCTCGATAGGCTGCTGGCTGGGCTGGAAATCTGATGATGAAGTGGAAGCACCGTGAGTTTCCATCTGATGTGTTTGTGGCCCTTGAAGCCGCTGGCACTCGAGTGATTGTGGCGCATATTAGTGAAATTAAGCAGTACACGCTACTGGAGTTTCTTCATGTCGACATGAAAGGAAAGGTATGTTTTCATGCTCTATTCAAAAATTTTGATTACATTTGTACGTTTTATGTATTTTTCTATGTTGATCTTGAAACCACCGGGTGATCCCCTCATTCTCTGAGTGCCAAACTACCCCTCACTTAACATAATAGTGATAAAAGAAGCTTCTCTTCCACTTTAGTATAAAGGTTAATCAAATCCAATACCCCTCCTCTCTCTGATTTAGATAGTAAGCACATGAAAATTAGGCCTTGGTACTGAGTTGGCTTCAAGGTGACAGACTTGGCAACGGAAACTCAGAAACAAGTAACCCTCTGTAGTTGGCTTAGAAGTCCAGTTCCTGAGTTAGACTGGTCTACAGTATTCCAGGGCACTGCTGGTGACAGACCAGCCAGTTGAGCTTATCAGCAGGATTTTGTGGTCAAAATGGTCCTGTGCTGTATAATTCTATGAAGTGCTTTCAATGACAAAATATGCACTTTTAGCTGATTAAACTCCAGCAGTTATTCCAACACACTCTCTACGTCTTGGGCCCTCTACGCCTTGGTTCTCGCCAGCCTGTGCATTATGCTCTCTGGAATTAAGTAAATGGGATGCATACTCCAGGGATATCAAACTAGGCAATTTACATGTGTCCCCAGAATATCTCCATACTTATATGATAAATAATTGTCCTGGGAGATGGAACATTTGTTGAATTTCCTCATTATTGTCTTTGTTAAAGGATTTTACTGGATTGCACTTTTATCCTAGATACACAGAAATTTCCATGTATAGGCGGTGTACTTTTGTTTTGGGTGGAGCTCTTAGTCTGGTTTGGAAACTCTTAAGCATGGTGTTGCAGTCACTAAAACTAAAAGCACACAAAAGTTTAATCTTCCCATCTATTTCTCTTCCAATGAGGGACTTTTGAGGTTTGCTCCATTCCCCCGCCCCTCACCAGTTATAATAATAATAATATAATAATAATAATAATAATGCTTGCATTTGGTACATCGCCTTTTATGACGGAAGGACATCTCAAAGCGCTTCACATGATTTACTGGAGTGACTATATATTTGTAGGCAAATGTGGCAGCACAATTGCACGCCACAACGTGCCACAAATAACCATAAAACGAGTAGCCAATTTTATTTGAGGATTATTTGCTAGGCGACCGGGAAAAATTCCCTCTCTTTTCGAATAATGCCATGGGATCTTTAATGTCCAACTGAACAAGCGGACGTGACCTCAGTTTAACGTCTCATCCGAAAGACACCACCTCAGACAATGCTACACCCCCAACACTGCATTGGAATGTCATCTTAGACTATGTGAGTTCAAGTCCCGGCATGGGATTTGAATCCCCAGCTTTCTGACTCAGAGGTGAGAGTCTTCTGACTACCACTGAGCCAAGCTAACACATGGTACAGGCTGGCTGAATCTTTCTCTGTGCAGATGATAAATTTTCACTGTGTATCATTAACCTCCTCCCTCCCCAATGGGCTCGAGACGAGTTGGAAAATCTGGCTCTCAGGCTAGAAACTTGCTGAAAAATGGACACATGGCCCTCAGGTAGGATATCCCAAACCAAGCAAAAGAGGAAACTGGAATGAAACTAGGCAATGTCCCTGTGTTCCCAGAATAAGTCCTGGAATCCCCATACTTGCAGGATATGACCAGATATCCTGTACCCACAGAATAAATAGCATCATAATATCAACATAGTTGTCCCTGGAGATGGGAGCAGATACATGAGTCCATGACATTGTGAACCTTTGTTTTTCCTTATAATTGTCTTTGTTAAAGGATTTTGCTAGATTGGGGAGAGAAGTGGTGTCGTATCAATGCTCTGCATTAGAGATTCTCTTTCATTCAGTCACTCACTGAATGATTGTGACTCTTATTCCATTACTTCTCCTACTAGGTGCTGTTGTATCTGGAGATCCCGAAGCATCCAGAGAGTGAAATAATGCGGATCTACAAGGTTATGCCTCGAGTGCAGGTAAATAAGATTTCATTTTTTGTAAAATGCTTACTTTTCTGATGAATGGTGTGAGAGACTGTGGTGCTCAAGGCCACAAATCAACCAGTGAAGCCGCTTTTAGGAACGCAATGGAATGTTTATTCACACATAGATCAAAAGAAACCATCACTGACTGAGTAAAAACAATAGCCCACTGAACCCGATGGTGCCTTTTCTTTCCATCATGGGTGTGGTATCTCCCTTCACCCTCATGCTGCCACTTACACGACAACAGGATAGCATCGTAGTATCAATGAAGTTGTCCCAGGAGATGTGAGGACCTATGTGGCTGAGCCATGTATAAAAGACAGTCCTCTTAAATATGCTGGTGCTTTCAGTTACCCAGTATCCCTAGCAGCATGTTAGTGCCATTGCACACATTTTTTATTGGATTTGCTTTGTTTCCCCCAGTGAAGTCCAGGAGTTCTCTGTCCTGTTACAAATGACCTGCATTAACAATAACAGCAAATTACATTTGTATAGCGCCTTTCATGTCAGGAGGACGTCCCACGGCACTGGGAATCACAACACAGCAAGCACAACATGTTTGAGTGAAGTAAGAGAGCACAGGAGCCACTCCCAAGGCTTCACATAGAATGGATCGTAATCCTTACATTTGATATAGTGCCTTATTATGTTGAAGCGTCTCGAAGTGCTTCACAGGTAATTACTGTCAAGTGTATAGAATGCTTGTAGGCAGACACAGCAGTTACTTGTACAGCAAGGTCCCACAAACAACCATGAAGTGCTTGAGCAATTAATCTGCAGGATTGTTGCCCTGGACACCAGAGTGATTTGTAAGATAGTTGCCAAGAGCACAAATGTTAACCTAAACTATGAGCCTAAACCTTGAGCGATTTTGCTGCTGAAACATGAACTTAATCACCAGTTCCACAGCTGTCACGGCATCCTTTCTAGAGAAACCTCCTCTCTCATGTCATATATTAAACGTCTGTTTTATCTGGACCCTAAATTCTCTGGGACATTTTATTTCACAGCAACCAGTCACAAGCTGGTTACAATACTGATACCTCCCCCAAAATATACTGCATCAGAATGGAACATAGAAACATAGGAAAAGGGGAACGGCCACTCAGCCCCTTGAGCCTGTTCTGCCATTCTATTAGATCATGGATGATCTGTACCTCAACTCCAATTACCCACCCATGCCCCATATCCCTTGATACCCTTACCTAACAAAAATCTATCCCCCTCAGTCTTGAAGGAATGAAATTAAGTTATACAAATAAAATTGTACAAACTATCAATGAGTCAGCTCAGAAAGGAACCAGTGCATTTAGAAACACATTGCTGGTGAGCAGTCTGTATTGAGGGATGCCACTTTAAATTTCTTTGAGAAATCTTTGTCTTTGAATTCAGCTGTTTTAACATTTGGGGATTTGTGAAGCAGGAAAAGTGAACCCATGTGCATCTATCCAGACTGCCAGGGAATATGGATATATTCCTCTCTGCTATCTGTTACGCACTTGCTGATATATATCCAAAGAATATGGATTATACATATAGATACCCAGCCCTAGCCAGCCTCGCAAGTTCACACATTACTTCAAACTTCAATTAAATTTCTACGCGATTTCCATTTGTATGGAAATTATTCAAACTCAGTTTTGCATAGTCTGATTTTTCTTAGTTATAATGTCATAGAAACGGGGATTGGCCATGTTGTTCCTCGATCCTGCTTTGTTAAGTCTAATCCATTCCCTTGCCTTTTCTTTATATCCCTTATACGTTCTTAATGTGTGTGAACATTAAGTTTATTACTAAAGGCCTTTTCAGTCTGCATTCAGAGAGGTTTCATACCAAGCTAAGAAGCATGAGTGAACAGTGAAGTGATATAAAATCCAAATGTTGTGTTGAATTTAAAAGTTCATTTATACACAAACTTACTGGTGAGTGATTTGCTGTTATATATAGATCAATCTGATCGCTCGCTTTAAGTGTTGAATTCAGCACAGATCGCATTCCTACTTATATAAATGAAAGCAAAAGGGTGAAGTGTGGCACAGTTTCTCTGTTCAATGTAGGAGAAATATGAGGATGTGATGTATTAATTATCACATTGGCAGAAAATATAATGAACATACATTTATATATCCAGTGCTTGATATCCATCTTCATTGATATGTGGAGAGATAAGCAGCTTCTGCTGAAGGTCTGCACTGACAACTAGTGGAATTATCACTCAATGGATAGGAATAAGAGTCTGAGTTGTAAGTAGGAGGATGGCAGCATTCCTCACGATGTTTCATATTTAAGAAATACAGTGCAGCTTACCTCTGGTCAGTGTGATGCTGTTGCTATATTTCTATCCTTAGAATGCCCACACTTATGTGACTGGAGGATTCCGTGCAAGGCTAACGGTTTGGGATGAAAACCGAACAGTGGAATCCATCTCTCTGGTGTACAATGGAATAAACAAGGACTTCATTCACGCTTTTGCCACAGAGCAGTACCTTCAATACAAAGATATCACCTCTAATGACACTTTACAAGGTAAGCAGTCATTCCGTGTTCGCTTCCACAGGAGGTAACAATAATGGGGTACAATTTGCAGTGGATAAGAGCCATCTTTCCCTCTTTTAAAAAATGTTCAATGAATACTAGCAGGTGGTGCACCGCACTGCAGGGCTAAAAGCATCATTTTGTTTGACACTGAAGTGAGCACTTTTGGGCTCAGCTGTTTTTTGTTAAATAGTTATTTCCCAATGTGGACCCAAATCTTCTCAGTCAAAATTTTCTTTTAGCTAGACCTGAAGCTGGCAGGTTGATAACTAAAAGATTACTTTTTAACCAATATTTTGGTCCTCCTTGACAGATTGGATTCTGTTAAAGCAATATTTGGCACAATAAAAGCATTACTTCGAACCAAATATAGAGCCTATAATATTTTTTTAAATGAGACAAGCAAAATGGCAGTGCTAGAACGTTGGGAACCTGAGAGGAAGAAACCATCTGACTGGCATGGCTTGCTGATAGTCATTGAACACTCCTTAAATAAGGAACGGAATGCGTTCAACCAGTCGAATCAGTTCCAGCATGACACCCCCATTAATGATCTTAAAATCATACTGAGGATTTTATTGCTGATTAAGTGCTTTGTGATCTCCTCCCGACATGAAAAACACTATAAATGTAAATTATGTTGCATTATTTCCTCTGCTCCCTCCCCCGACCCCAACCCATGCTGAAAGTGAACTAGCAGAAAGGTTATCCCGTTGTTTGATCTCTGAGTTTGTTACAGGTGCCTTGGCTGTACTTGCGGAGGAAATTGTGCCAGATGGGGATGATGCACTTCTCGCCAGTGTTGAATACAGAAAGAATCTTGCCCTTAACCTTTTTTATAAGGTGAGTGACTCTTAAAATTGTACTCAATGTTTGTAATTGTTAGGCCATCTCAATGCAATGTTTACTTTAAATTGAGAAACTTAGGTAAAAAGCCAAGGCTCACACTGAGTGTAGTTCTTGGCATTCCGTTCCTTATTTAAGGAGTGGATTTAAAAAAGCCTAGAGATGGTCAGAAGAGGAAAGAGCGAGGTGTGTGAGGAGTTCCACAATCTTAAAGACTTCAGAGAGAATGGGTTAGCAGAGAGTACAATGAGTTAGATTTCCACACTAGGAGAAGCAAGTACAATGGCATTTTTGCACCTTGGGAGAAACAAGAGGTAATTTCAAATCAGTCATGACATCAGAAATATTGCTAAAATAAAGAGAGGCTGCAATAGGGAGAGAGAGTGAGAAATTGGAGGTGAAGGAATGATCACCGTTTAGCAATGTAAGAGAGATGTTAGCAGGGGAACTTCAGATATGGAGGCAGTATTAAATTGCTGCTATATTGGATTGTCACACTGATATAACATTGTTGTCTTGTCAAAAATACTATTAACTGAATCATGATTGTCAGCACCACGGATTGGAACGGTATTTCACTGCTCTCTTGAATTGAGTAGTTTGTATGCCTTGTATTATATTGTACAACTAGCTGGTATGACATGTATTATGTTGTATAACTAGCTTGAATGACATGTATTGGGTGCAGTACATCTAGTACTGTTGGGTTTTTGACATAAATCACATTACCACAAAGCACAGCTTGTAATATAGTTCCTGGAAAGGCAAGGGATTTTAATATTTTATAAAACAGTTCTGAACTATTAAGTACTTAAATGCAATAGGAAATGGCATAGTGGGTCATATGATGCTTCACATCTCAATCGGCAAAGTGAATATGTTATGTGAAGAAACAAATGCAACAAAACATGGCACAAGGTCATTGTGGAAGAATGTAGAAGCTTCCATAATCCACACAACACCTACCTTTACCATATACATCACCTCACCTGCTCTTACTTCCTTGTGGAAAGTATTATATTCATACTTGAGTGTCAGTCTGGCTTAGTTGGCTGCACTCTTGCCTCTGAGTTCAGAAGATTGTATGTTCAAGCCCCATGATGGGATATTGAATTCACATAGTCTAAGGTGACTCTGCAATCCAGTACCAGGGCTGCATTGTTCAAGGTGCTGTCCTTCAGGTGAGATGTTAAACAAAGGTTGTGTCTGCTTGTCTTGGGATCATTAAAGATTCAATGGCACCATTCAAAAAAGGAGGGAGTTTCTCCCTGCGTCCTGGCCAAAAATTCCCCTGACAAAATTAGTCATTCACTTCACATTTTTGTGGGACATTGCTGTACACAGATTGTCTGTTGTATTCACCAACAAAATACCCAATCAACTATACAATAAAATCCTGTGATGCACTTTGAGACAGCATCCCAACGTAAAGCTGCTATGTCAAATGGAAGGATTATTATTACTATTATACACTTATAGGTAATTCCAAAGATAACGGAGTACAAAATCTAACATATTCACCTTGGTCTCCTTTCTTAGGCGCAATGGACTGGATAGCCTTCTTCAATACTGTTAACTTCTATGGTTCATGCTGAGCAGTGTTAAATCAAGGTCCCATTTACCTGTTCGGGAGGATGCTAAAGATCCCATGGCACTATTCCAAAAGAGATGGGAGTTTCTCCCAATGTCCTGGCCAACAGCACCCTAAATAAAATGTTTGCATTTAATTTAGCATCTTATCACATCATCTCAGCGATGTGATAAGGTGCTAAATCAAATGCAAAATTATTATTACTAAATTTAAGAGAGTTGATTGGGTAAAACCCTTTCTGCTAGTAGAGGATTCGAGAAGACCAGTGCATAAATTCAAGTTTATGACTAGGGGAGTAAAAGGAGAAGTTCAGAACAACTTCCTCAATCCGAGGCTGGTCAGGGTAATGAATGATTTGCCATTGGTGGTCATTGGAGCATAATTCCTTAAAAAAAAATTGGTCACTTCAATCTACAGCTATTTGTGGGACTCTACTGTGTGCAAATTGTCTGCTGCATTTCGCCCACAAAATATCAACAGTCAATTCACTTTACAGTATATTCTGTGAAGTGTTTTTAGACATCTCAAAGATGTGATAAGGCACTATATCAAATGCAAGGATTATTATTATTTAAACAAACATTGGAAAAGCACATGCAAAGGAAGGGTATTGGAGAGTACGGAGAAGGAGTGGGAAATTGGGATAATAATAATAATAATCCTTGCATTTGATATAGCACTTCATCACATCTTTGAGGCACCTCAAAGCGCTTCACAGAATATACTGTAAAGTGAATTGACTGTATATTTTGTTGGTGAAATGCGGCAGCAAATTGCGTACAGCAGTGTCCCACAAATAGTCGCGGATTGAAGTGACCAATTCATTATTTTTTTTGAAGGAATTATTACCCCCGGAAAAGCAATCCGCCAATCGACTAACAACCGGGTTCCTACTTCCTGCTAGGTAAACAGAGGCATGTGGAATAAGGAAACTTGCCTAACATTTCGTACTGCTGGAAATCAAACCCAGGTCCTCTCACTTGCAAAGCAAGTGCTCTAACCACTGAACTACAGGACTCCACTGCAGCTCTTGTAGCTCTAGATGGTGTCTTAGAGGAACAAACTTGTCATCAAAATAATGGGCTGAATGATCTTCTACTGGGTTGCCTCAGTTGCCAGGAGCAATCTATATGGCCGCATTACGACATCATGGAAGTCGAGTGGGACGGGTTTGAGCAGATTTCCTACAAGTTGCTTCTGGGAACTTTCAGGATTCTGTACTTACGAATCCTTTTATGAACCCCCGCATATTAGACCCTTGTATGGTGTATCCTGGTATCCACCACATGAAAAGCTTTTCACTGTTTGCAGGGGAATGTGGGTGTAGTTGGGGATGCGGAGGATCATGCCTGGTTGTGTAATAACCTGCTGACCAATGCTGGCTGGCATCTGTTCATACTGGAAGAATAGCAAACTTGACTGAGCTATCAGTGGGTGGATGGAACTAAACCTCAGAATGGATCACTGCCTTCAGGAGAAGCGGGGCTGACATTGTTTTTTGAATACTAGGTGGACCGTGTGCAGAAAAATACTAGATGGGCTCAATGACCTGTTTCTGAGCTGAAACAATTCAGGATAATAAATTTGCACAGATCAGTGTTATACTGTTACATATCATGCATTGTATGCATTCATTTTTGCTTTGATTCTCAATCTTTATCCTGTTTTTCGAAGAATAAATCCTTCATAGTTTTCCCAAACCTTTCTTTGCACAGTTCATCCTGCTGTTGAATGAAAATGTTGTTTCACCTCAAAACCGGAGTGCTCCAGCCACATTGACTCGTCCTGTATCTACAGGGAAGCAAGTGTTCAAAAGCAAACCAGAAGAATACCCGTTGACAAAACCTATGCCAAAGCTCAGCGCTTACTTCCAGGTAAGCATTGGATTTGTTCTAGATTTGGTTACCCTTGGTGCAAGAGAAACAGACATGTATAACCTAGAAAATAGCAGGAGTGCCAAGTTAAAGAGACTGCAGTTATTCAAAGCTCACATACAAGGAATCTGAATCAGGAATTCAGAGCTTTCTTGTGAGATTTTGTCATCCCCAAAGTTTGTGGTGCTAAACACATTTTCTCTACTACTCTAAGAGAGAAGGGAGTTTCTCCTGGTATCCTAGCCAACAATCCCCAGATTAAATTGCTCAAATTGGCTCCTGCTGCTTACAACTGTGTTGTCACTTTACAGTAAATCCTGTGAAGTGTTTTGATACATTTTGATGATGTGACAGGGTACTATATCCAGTGCAGGGGTTATTATAGCAGCAAATTGTGGTTTGGATCATTACATTTGCAGCTGTCCGTTAAATCCCTAGTCTGACTCAAACCTAACCTTGACAAGTCTCTGAACAGATTTAAATAAAGTGCCATTTATACTGTTTTGGGTATCGGGGTAAAACTCATCCCTGTTAGCGACTGAAGAGTTAGTTGAGCAGTGAACTTCATAATAATAGTAATAATAATCCTTGCATTTGATATAGCGCTTTTCACATTTTCTAGACATCTCAAAGCGCTCACAGAATAGACTTTAAAGTGAATTGACTGTATATTTGTGGGCGAAATATTTTGAAGGGGCCCCATTACTAAGTCTTTCTCATTTGTTTGGGACAAAGTATTTTCAGTAGATTTTGAAAGTTATAAAAAACTTGAATAGCAGGTTTTGTGTTTCTTCTTTCCAGACTTCAGGTGAAGCCTGTTTCATAGATGACACTCTACCCCTTCCAAATGAGCTGTTTGGAGCACTTGTCCTCAGCACAAAAGGAAACGCAACCCTTGCTGGCATTAACAGCACAGAAGCCTTGAGTATACCTGGTGCTGCTGCAGTAAGTACAAAATACCACAGAGGTACATGAATTCCTTTCTGCATATTATTTGTTCAAAATACACCGTCACTGACTAGATTACAGTAAAACTCTGTGAAGCACTTTGACTTGTCCTCCTGGCGTGAAAGTCGCTACAGGTGTAAAGATTATTATATATACAGAGTCTTATCGAATCAACGAGAAAGGAGAAAAGAAAAACTTACATTTTTGTTAGCATTAAGTATCTCAAAATGTGTCACAGTAATTACTCATCCTGTAGAATGTGCAAATATAGAGTCCTGTAGCTCAGTGGTTAGAGCACTTGTTTCGCTAGCGAGAGACCTGGGTTTGATTCTAGGCAGGGCAAAACCTTGGGTAAGTTCTCTTACTCCACACACCTGATAATAATTCCTCAAGAAAAAAAATATTAAAATTGGTCACTTCAATCCACGACTGTTTGTGGGACACTGCTGTGCTCAATTGGCTCCTGCATTTCGCCCACAAATATACAGTCACTTCACTTTACAGTATATTCTGTGAAGCGCTTTGAGATGTCTAGAAGACGTGAAAAGCGCTATATGAAATGCAAGGATTATTATTATTATTTATTATATAGCACCAAATATATGTTAGCACCAAATATATGTTTGCACCGAATAGTCGAAATAAAGCTGGTTAGGCTGATGGCCTTTTTCCGTGCCTTGTCATTGTATGTAAATTCCCGCAAACAGACACTGGTATCACTGACCAGGATACTGTTAGGCCAGATGAATGTTAAAGATCCCATGGCAGTACTCAAAAAGAGAAGAGTTTCTCCCAGCGTCCTGGGCAAGAAGCCACCAAATAAAATTGGTCATTCATTTCATAGCTAGTTGTGGGACATTGATATATGCAAACCTGCTGCTGTGTTTCTGCTTTACATCCTGTGAAATGCTTTGAGACATCCTCCTGATGCGATAAAGCTCTAATAGAGGCGTAAGGATTATTATTATTCATTTTTGTTGTAGGTTCTAACAGCAAAAGACATTCCAGGATCTAACACCTTTATGCCTGCACCCAATGATGAAGAAGAGATTTTCAGCAGTGGTCCCCTCCTTTACGCTGGGCAGTCAGTTGCCTTGTGTGTTGCAGGTAAAATAACAAAGAAATTAGCTTAAGTCTCAGTCCGGTTTTATTGATATTAAAATACAGTCAAGCCCTGTTATAATACAGTCCTTGGGATCCATAAAATCCTTGCAATTACCCCACTCCCAATGCAACTAAAACCATCATCCACCTGGGAATTTCCCGACTTGATTTGTGCAATGCTCTCCTTGCCGGTTGCCCCAGTTCTTCCCACCACAAGCTACAGATCACCCAGAATTCTTTTGTCGATATCCTTTCCTGCACTAAGTTCCTGGAGCCCAAAACCCAAATCCTTTTCGGGCTCCCCTGGCTCCCTATTCCTCAGACAATTAACTTTAAAAATTATTATTGTTTCAAATGCCCCCTTTCCATTGCTCCAATTCTGTGGATCTCCGGCAGTCATACTCCCCTGATCACTCCCTCTGCTCTGCTAACTCAGACCTGCTTCAAGTCCACCGCCCTCTCCGTCCCACTTTAAGTGGGCAAATTCTGTCATTTCACCCGGTCTCTGGAGCTCTCATAGGAATATAGGAACAGGAGTTCAGCCCCTCGAGCCTGTTCTGCCAGTCTATAATATCATGTCTGACCTGTGCCACAACTCCAATTTCAATTCCATACTGAATAAAATATTCTCTCCTTAAATCCCTCCACCTCATAGCCTGCTTGCTGCTTTCAAAACCTTTCTCCTAAAGAGACAATATTAAGATGTACTTCCCTGTGAATGAAGGTGAATCCTAAATGTATGTAGAGACTGAATACAACCCAACAAACATTGGAAGACCAAAACTATGCTGACTGTTCACTCTTGTACTCCTGCTTGCGTTTAAGTTATAATTTTTTTTCATGGCAGAAATAAAAATGTTATCTTCACAGCTGTTGCTACCACTAACTAATAGCATGCACTTGCACCATATTTATACCATCTAACCTTTTCTTTTGTTATACTAAGATTCAAATGAACTTGCCCTCAAGATGGTGCAAGCAGTGAAGGTCACTTACAAAGATGAAATGCCACCAATAGTGAGCCTTGATGATGCCATTGAAAAGAAGTCCTTCTTCCCATCTTCCGGGGAAGTGTTGCATGTTGGAGATGCTGAAACTGCTGTTTCATCCTCTCCTCACAAGATTGAAGGAGAAATCCGGGCCGGTGAGCAGTACCATCTTCATATGGAGACTCAGGTAACTTTTCTAGCACTTGAGAGATGGGAAGGTGTATAACATTTTAACTGGGATTGAAAAGTAAATCCTGAACAATCCTTTTAGATGCAGAAAGAGCAGAACAAGAGTACATGAGTTTAGAATTGCAAAGGACAATTTCAGGACATATACCAGGGTGTTTTTCTTTACCCAGAGGGTAACTAATGACTGGGACAAGTTGCCAGGAAGGGTGGTTGACACTAGGACACTGAACTCGCTTGAAGGGGGAACACTAGGGTGGGTATTCTGGAGGAATGAGATCAGATGGGCCAATGGGCCATCTTCATCCAAACTATTAATGTAAATGTGACTATTTCATTAGTAATTACTCTGGTTCTCTCTGGTTGAACATTGTCCTCCAATTTTATGTTTGAAGGTGAAGTAACAACATTAATTGTGCCTGTGTATAAGTTGGTCCTCCATTTAAATAACATTTGATGTTCAAATTAGGAAATTACCAATAATAATAATAATCCTTGCATTTGGTATAGCGCCTTTCACGTTGAGAGGATGTCTCAAAGTGCTTTGCAGGATTAACTGTAAATTGTCGTGACTGTATTTTGTAGGCGAGCATATATTTTGTAGGAGTAAGGAAGAAAGTTAGATAAAAAGAGAACAGACTTGTGGGGTGATGATTTGTTTATGAAGCTGCGAGTGAAACATGAGAGCGTTTAATGGACCAAAGGAGCAGGCTATGTAGGGGTGAATTTTCATGTTCTGTTCTACCTCGGGAGGCTTCTATTTTATCTTTCTAATATAGTCCCCTTCTGGGAATATATAATCCCCAAGATGGTTGCCATATCCCTTGAATAAAATTTCAATGTTTGTTTGGAGCCAAAGTACCACCTTTAGCAGTGATCACTAACCACCTTGTTCAACAACAACAACAACAACAACAAGATTCCATTTATAGAGCGCCTTTCACGTCGGGAGGACGTCCCAAGTCTGGTGAGCCAGTGTCACCCAGTAAATGGACACGTTATCATTGCTGTTAATATGTCTCGGTGATCAGCACATATATAACTGGGATAGTTGATCATAGATCAGTTTCTTGAGATGACTTTTTTTGTTTGTATTTTGACAGATTTGTCGGTGTGTGCCCACTGAGGATGGTCTGGAAGTCCAGCCAGCAAGTCAGTGGTTGGACTTCACCCAGAATGCCATTGCAGGAGCTGTTGGATTACAAGCCAAAGAGTAAGTGGGGACTAATGTATGGTGTATCTCAATGGGATTTCTGTAATAAGGCTTCTGTTAACCCATTTGGGAAAAAGAATGTCAGAGGTGGTTGATGATGTGACAAACTTCCAGTTACTATTTGCATAATTTTCTTATTAAGAAATCTCATGAAGAAATGACATACAGTGAATTCTGTGAAGCGTTTTAGATGTCTCAACGATGTGATAAGGCGCTATATCAAATGCAAGGATTATTATAATGTAGACCTGATGTCTTCTCGCATGATTCGCATGATTCAGTTACTTGATTAGGATTAATGTCCACTTTACCTGTGATGGTTGTAAAGCATTTGGAGGTTTTATTCTACATGAAGGGTGCAATATCTTCTGTTTGATTAGATTGGATTATTGGTGGTTTTCTTTCTCTGTTGGATAGTAAAACTAGTGGAAACTCAAAAAACAAAAATAAGATCCAAACCCACTTACCTCAAAAGTATCACTTAGTTCGCAGTCAAAGAGGAAGGAATGATACTCTTTGAGATCGTTTCATAAGGCTCTAAACATACTTTTAAGATTTTCTTTACCAAATTGCTGCTGATCTGTGCGGCGCCTGAGCTATTGAAGTACAATGTGATATTGTCCAGCACAGTCTTACTTTATTCTAGTGTTAAATTAACTTTTTTTTTACAGTTTAGTTAACGGTCACGTTTTGTTCCCACAGCATTAACATGTCTGTCAAACGTTTGGGTGGAGCTTATGGAGGCAAAGCCTCGCGATCTAACTTAATAGCCTGTGCATCGGCCGTGGCTGCTACAGTGCTTCGCAGGTGGGTTTCAACTGATTTCTGTACATAGATGCTGTTGACCTATTTAGCGTTGGACATTGCTATACTCCAGGGTTTCTATTGTTGAGTGATGCAAGAGCAAGAGGTTGTAATCTGAGTTGCTGAGCACTGTATAACAGAAATTATGCGCCTTATAGACCTGTGCGGTGCATGATGGATCTGAGTACCAATATGAAAGCAATTGGCAAGCGACACAGCTACATTACCAAGTATAAGGTAAGAAAATCGTTAAGGGTCTCTCTTTATTTTTGAGTCTTCTCACTCCCAACAGCAGCTAAGTCTGATGGGTTGATCATGGATTAGATAAATATTTGGAGAGGACAAGTTTGCGGGGTTAAAGGGAGAGAGCGGGGAGTGGGATTGAATTGGATAGCTCTTTTCAAAGAGCCAACACAGATACAATGGGCCAAATGGCCTCCTTCTGTGCTGTATAATTCTATGATTCTATGACACAATGACTTTAGGAGATCTTTCTATAACTCGGTATAGAGCTGGTATTTGTCAATAAGCTGACGTCACTATAGAATTCATTCTGATTTATCATGGTATTTAGGATGTTAATAGTTAGACTGATGAACTCTGAATCTGTTTTTTTTCTCTATTTTTCTCATTTGTACAGTTCTGTCTAGTAGTTTAGAAAATAACCACAAACTCTGCATTATCCACCCAACGTAGCACTTTCTAAAAGTTTCTTTTTTCGTTCGCCATGTTGCAGGTTGGGTTTAATGAGGATGGTACCTTAAATGGAATTATCATGACGTACTACTGTGACAGTGGATGTAGCGCAAATGATAAAGAGGTTACAGAATGCATCATGTTTTCTGACAATGGTAGAGTATCTCACTTGAGTTTCCTAGCAAGACTGCAAACTAAGATGTGAAATGAGCTCTGAAGTCTGGAGTGGGTTAGCTCGGACCAATGTTACTTGCTTCTCTTTCTCCTCCTCTCCCAAAGAATATCCCTATTTTTCTGATATCCCGCCCCTCTGCTCAGCTAACTCGGGCCTGCTGGATGTCACCCAAACCTTCTGCTGAGTCGTCAGTCCCTAATCTCTGGAACACCTTTCCTCTATCCCTTCACCTCACCCCTCTTTATCTGTCTTTAAATCCCACCTTAAAGTGTAACTTTTCAACTCCACCTATGGTCACCCCACCTTCCCCCTCTCCTTTCTCGCTTGCTCATGGTCTAACCTCGTCATTTTAAAGTGCTACAAGACATTATCCTATGTGAAGAGCACTATATAAAGGCAAGTTGTTGGTGATTCAGACTGGGTATAGTTTCTCGAATACTTTAGTTTGTCACTTACAGTGGGAACTGATATCTTACTTCATTCTTGAAAGTAGACAATGAATGTCAGCAAGTTATTCAACTGTGGAGTGTACCACAACTGAGGTCAATGCTTTCCTTACTCAATGCCCACGCAAGAATCATACAATGTTACATTGAGTGATTATCTTAAGTGTGTGTCCTTTTTGAAACAGTTCACTGAGTAGTGATCAGGAGAGGGAACCCTGACTGATTTTGCCTTATTTAGTTTAAGGGGCAATGAGGCTGATTGTTTGCCCACGTAACCTTCAGTTTTGAGGTCAGATAACTTTAAACAGATGAAGGTTTGAACTTGAGTCCTTCCTAATATGCCTTAGTCAACAACAACAACAACTTGCATTGATATATCGCCCTTCAAACAGGGTAGGTCCCGGAACTCTTGAAATTACCTATATACTGTCAGTAAAGCCTCATATGTTTGCTATCACCTGAAATTATAATTATAACAAATTAATTGAGTAGATCTCTTCCCTCCCCTCCTCATTCTTGCATGAAAGGTTTGATATAGACGTGTTTGAATATAAAAGTAAACAAATTTACACTGAAGATTTAAAATACTGGTTTAGTTTTGACATTCAAGTGAAACAATACATTGCCGGCAGAGATTTTGTGCATTGCTCAAATGTTGTAGCTGGTGCCTTTATTTCTTTCTCAGATGTGTGAACACCCTCTGTTTCTTACAGCATACAAGTGTGAAAACTGGCAGTTGAATGCTGTGTCTCTTAAGACAAATCGTGCCGCTCACACTTGGTGTAGAGCTCCAGGTAAGAGCAACCTCTGTGTGTTTCAGTCTGTGTGGACTGAATAGATAAGGGCACCCACAGACTAGTAGCTTGCATTAAAAGGAAATGACTCAATGAGTTCCTGATCCCATCACATCCCTGTGAAGGAAGTAAGAGCCTAGCCTCGAGGAAACGAGGAAAAGTAGAAAGTGAAGGAGTTCTGGGTGTAGATGCAGCTCTTTCACATCGTATTGTGGAATCACAGTGTCAACTTTCTTGCCAGCCTCTTGACCAGCGATTAAGAAATAGGAGAACAAACTGATCAATATCAGCAGTGGTTTCTTGTGTATTTAATGTTGTGCACAGTTTGTAACTTGCTTCAGGCTGTCAATAAGTTTATTCTCATGGATATCCACGGACCACTACAAACAGATTCTGCCCGTTTGGATCTCCCTCTGATCTCATAACTCGTTCCAATCTTTGGAGAAATAGCTAAGATGTTTATCACTAAACTCAAAGTTGAAGTAGTCTTGATTTTAAACTCTGTGGCATATGACTTTTAAAAAGAAAATCAGTAACATGATCTTGCCAAAGGTCTATATAGTGCTGCCTCTCCTTTAGCGCTGGTGTCCTATGGACTCACACTGACAAAGTGCGGCTCACCCGAATTCTGTTGTTGACAAGCAGGCTTCCCACACTAAAAATGTTGCTGAATACAGATAGATGCTTGCCACAAACATCATTTCCTGCGCTATGGACAGGAAGTATTGCCAATGTTACTTCTTGAAGGAAGAGATGTCAGCGAGGCTTATGCACAGTATTCTCAGGGGTAACCTGGAGACCCAAGTAGTCAGCCATTCTTTTGTATTTTAACTGCCCACTATAGTCACACAATATGAAAGGTACTAAGCGTAAAGCTGAAAGGAATTTTTACCCCAAGGTCTATATAGTGTGTATACTAGTTGTGTACATGCTTGTTAGGATTGTATGGCCTTCTTAAAATTCTCATTATCATTAAAATAGGCAAATCATCAGAATGGGTTGATGTATTTAACTTCTTTGATGGTCTTCTTGTCTTGCACGTATGATGGTGAAATCTTTCTCTATACTCAGGCTCAAAACCAAACATTTTTTTTATGGAGACAATTCTTGAACACGTGGCCAAGGCTCTGTCAATGGACCCACTTATAGTGAAGCAGAGGAATTTGTATGCACAAGGAGACATCACTCCTTTGGGTTTCGCTCTGCCCTACTGCAGTATTCAGGAGCTCTATTCATGTGAGTACCGGACTCTCCCTCAGACATTTTGATTTTAGTGACTACCAAAATGTAGGAGTCTAAAACCCCACATTCGCACATCAGATGTAATGCATTAGTTGCAATTTCCCGTTTGTAATTCACGCTTTTGAGAATCATAAAACATTTTGTACCAACAAAAAAGCTGAAAAAGCTTTAAAGTGTACTCGGAGTCCAACGGTTTGTTAACGGGTCACTCCAACACACAACAACAGCAACAAATATTTATCTATCACCGTTCAAGTCGGGAGGATGACCCAAGGCATTGGACATTGAGGGGTGGGGGCTGGAATCAAGAGGGGTGAGAGGCGAAGTGGGTGGAGATGGAAGGATGACCAAAGGTACAGTGAAAGCGGAAGGTCTTGAGACCGACCTTGGTTCCAGAGGGTGGGGGTAGAAAAACTGAAGGCCAGACCACCGATGGTGGGGCGGGCAGGAACATGGAGCAGGTCAGTGCCTGCCGAGCGGAAGGAGAGGGCAGAGTGGTAAGGTTTGCACACTGTAATGTAAGAGGAGAAATAACTGGGACAAATGGGTTCTAAGAGACCATTCCAGAGAACCATATACCTAGATTTCATCATTCATCAATGCAATCTGCAAAATGTTTGAACTCTTTTAGGTACTTAATCTACTTAGGCATTATTATTGTTTTGGAGTACTAACCGTATTTGCTGGTGTTACTCTCTTCAGCTCAGTTGACAAAGGTGGACGTGGAGGGACGTATGCAAGCAATTAACCAGTTTAATGCTGAAAATCGTTGGAAGAAGAAAGGATTAGGAATTGTGCCTCTGAAATATGGCTTAAACTGGAGCTCTGGATACTACCTCTGTGAGTTCTGTGAGGAAGCACGATACCGACGTAGCTGCTTTATAGTGAATCCTAGGAATGCTCGCGAGGGGAGAATAGAGATGTAATTATGTGAAGACGATTGTTTTCAATAGCTTTATAGAACATGCTGTTTAATGGACATATTGTCAGGCAGCAGTGCGATCTAAGGGATGTTCATAGCTCTCCTACTTTTCTGAAATTTTTTGTTTTTTTTGTATCTTTTCTGTATTTCAATAGTGAAATACTGACTCGCTGCTCCATAGGGGAGATAATTCCTGCCGTATTTTTAATGAAGCTCCAATAGGTGGTTCTGGCTGTTCAAGCAGCAGAAAGCTTGTGACACAGTACTCTCAATGTGGTTAAGCTGGAAAATCTCCCGGGGTACCCCAACAAGAACAAGTAGCATTTTATACATTTCACGTATAGTTTCAAAGTACTTCACAAAGACAACACTGGACACCAAATAAACACTTGACATGTTTTACATGTGTTAGGAGCGCCACCTGTCTTCAGAGTGAAGTAAGTAATCCAGATGTGGTCGTGAAAAAGCACTGAGCAGGTATTCATACCACCAGCTGGTGCTGAGCTCACTTGTGATGAAAATATCTGGGTTTGATCCTGCTGCCGATTGAATATTTAATGTTTGGGACACAGTATAGTCAGAGATGTAAAGCTACTAGGTTTTCAAAAACTTACCTTAAAAAAAAGTACAAACTCCACAAACCTTGGCTCTCGCCAACTTGTGACTAATACTTTTCAGAATTAGGTAAACAGATTGTGTGTCTCAGGGGAGAGAGTGCAAGTTCTGTCCCAGACAAAAGGAAATTTCCAGTTGTTGGTTGCAGGCATATGTGAAACTTTCAGTCAGGTTTAGATACTCTTAAGCTTGGTTTGCATATGTGTCAGACAGGCTGCACAAAACTCGCAGGAATTCTAAAGCATCCTGTTAGAAATCCTCACATTTTTGCTGCAGTGTTTCACATGTGTCAGGAGCACCACCTGTCTGCAAAATGAAGTATTCCAGGCGCGATAGTGAATGAAGTACATGGGTTTGATCCAGCTGGAGATTGAATATTTAATGTGTGGGACACAGTACAGTCAGAGATGTACAGCTGAGCTCTGTATCCTTATCCCGGGAGGCAACAAAAGGTGCTGTAATGTGACTTAAAGGTGGCAGTGAGATGTAGCTGGATCAAATTTTCATAGCTGTCCCAGCCTTAGCAGTCCATAAGATCCACCATCTCACTGGGCTTTCCTAAATACGCTTTAATCACATCACTTTACATCATGGCAGTAAACACTTATCTTGTATCTGCTCCAGTCCTGCAATGTCTTTAGCCAATGTATATTTCTCCCACAAAAAACAGTCAATGCGCTTTACAGGGTATCCCTGTGAAGGGATTCGAGACATCTTACTGACATGAAAGCCACTAATCCAAATGTAAGGATTATTATTACTGTATTTTTAGATAAAGTATAATTATTTGTACCTTTGCTTGTCCTACATTATATCTGTGTACCTATCATACGGGGGTTGTTCTAGAGCTTTTTCTAACAGTAATTTATTCATTTCAGGCACAGTTTCAATATTCGCCTCCGATGCAACGCTTATCATAACGCATGGTGGAATTGAATCTGGTCAAGGCCTCAATACCAAGGCAAGCTACAGTATTTGTGAAATAATAGATTATTCCTTCACTGTTTTAGGTTTCTCTTTTATTCTCTCTTTGTTTCGCACCCCTTTCTATCATTGTATCACTATTGCCAGTTAATCTTTTTCCTTTCCCTGTAATCTCTTGCTCTCATGTCACAGAAGTGGGCCACATGGTACAATCCCATTCACCATTGCTCGGTAGTTGTCAGCTTGGCTCACTGCCTCAGTTGGGTTCATGCCTCACTTTGGGCTTGTGACACTCATGACATTCCAGTGCAGTTGTGGTCAGGTGTTGTCCTTCAGACGGCATGTTATCCCTGTGCCTTTCAGGCAGATATTAAAGTGTGCACTATTTGGAAAGAGAAGGAAGTTTCTCCCGGTGTTCAAACCAACAGTTCTCCAGATAAATTTGCGCTTCATGGCTGTTTGTGGGAGATTGCTGTGCTCTAATTGTTGCCACGTTCACTCCAAAAACACAGTCTTTACAATAAAGTCCTTTGAGACCTTTGGACTACATGTTAAGGTGCTATATCAAATGCTTTGATCATTATTATTGAGATATTTGCAAAGGAGAAAGCTTAATTGTGGTCCACAATAGTCTAAAAGGAAACCATAATAAGGTTCTGAAGTGCAGGGTCACAAATGTATCACATTTACTGACATGGTAGCTCAAGCTAAAATCAGTTTTGCTCACGTATCTAAACACATAGGTAGCACATAGATCTGCTCTCACTGTACCTCATACCTCTGCTGTTTTGTCAGCTAGTTTAATTAGAAAACAGATTGGAAGCAGATGTAAAGTGTGATGATGATACAGATTAGAAACTGTCGTGCCACTATACTGGAAATGCAATTTTTAAAATAAAAACGTTCTTTTTTCCTCAAGGGTCTTTATTTCCTTCTCCTGGGATACAACTCCATAGGCACTAGCACCCCTCTGGTTCATGTATTTACAGCATTTGTGAGCCGTGGCATTGAGTGTTGACTGGTTATTTGTTGGCAATGGGCATCAAATTCACACGAAGCTCCAGCGGAGGTCTTGGGATAGTGATGAAGAATGGGAACAACTGGATGATTTTCCCTGTTCTAACGCAGAGATGCTGGGTACAATTTTTGTGCCCCAACTGCTGTCCTAGCAGAGATCAGTTTACTGAATGAATACAGATTCAATTCGATGGATTACAACCAACACATCACCTGTAGGGTAAAGCTAACCTCTCTCACGGTAGTCTCAATTCAGCTCACATTCTCTGTTAATGGGTGAACAATCCAATACTTAATTCTACTTCACAGTTATAATAATAATCCTTGCATTTGATATTGCGCCTTATCACATCGTTGAGACGTCTCAAAGTTCTTCACACAATATATTGTAAAGTATTGTAAATATATTGACTGTGATCACAAACATTCGTAAATTGAGTGACCAAATTATTATTTTTGGGGGAGGGATTATTACCCCCAGAAAACGATCCGCTAATTGACTAACAATCAGGTTCCTACTTACTGCTAGATAAACTGAGCCATCTGGAGTATCTTATATGGTAAGAAGAGTCGACTTCAAAGGATCAGAAAGCATTGTTGGTATGAATCCTTGGCCACCACAAGCCAGTTATCCCTGTGCTAACTTTTCTGACATCTCCTGCTTAAAACCCCAAAAGCCAGAAGGATCGTGGTCCTGTAAACCTCTGACCTATATTGTGATGTTTTGTCCACAAAATACACAGTCAAACCACTTTACGGTATATCCTGTGAAATACTTTGAGACGACTCGACAATGTGATAAGGCACTATATCAAATGCAAGGATTATTACAGTATTAATATAAATTTCTGATGAATTGCAATATATTGTTGAACAAGTCTAAATATATAGAAAGTTGTGGTCAGTATTGTATTATGTTTTACCGTTTCTACTTTGTTGCTAAATTGCACTGTTTTATTTAAATTGTCTATTTCTATTTCCTTTTGTAAATCAGGTTGCTCAAGTGTGTGCCTATTCACTGGGAATTCCCATTGAGTACATCTCCATCAAGAAAACCACCACTGTGAGCAGCCCCAATTCCGCTCCAACTGGCGGCAGCATCACCAGTGAACTGAATTGCATGGTAAAATTTGGTATTATTCTCATTAACTATTCATCAAAAATGTGTCTGTTAACATTTTACAGCTGTATCGAAAAAAGAAACTTGTATTTTTACAGTGCCTTTTTATGTCAGGAACATAGTAAAGCAAGAAACAGGAGATCGTTCAACCCATCAAGTCTGCTCTGCCAGTTTAGTAGATCTTGGCAGATATTTTAATCCTAATGCCATGCCCTATGCTGCTTACAACACAGAAATTTTGCTGTGTCCTGAGTGGAATGCACATTCTCTCCCTGGAGGGACATACCCTGATTACCTAATTCCAGAGAATATTGTATGGAATCCTGTAGCTCAGTGGTTAGAGCATTCGCCTCGCAAGCTAAAGACCTGGGTTCGATTCCTGGCAGGGCGAAATGTTAGGCAAGTTTCCTTACTCCACACACCTCTGTTTACCTAGCATTAAGTAGGAACCCAGTTAGTCGATTGTCGAATCGCTTTTCCGAGGATAATAAGCCCTAAAAAAAAAAAAATTTGGTTACTTAATCCATGACTGTTTGTGGGACACTGTTGTGCGCAATTGACTGCCACGTTTCACCCACAAATATACAGTCAATTCACTTTACAGTATATTCTGTGAAGCGCTTTGAGACGTCTAGAAGACCTGATAAGGCCCTATATCAAATGCAAGGATTATTATTAATAGGCTCAGGTTGGCAAGAACCTTGTGGACCCTAGAGTGCATTGTGGTACTGCTTAAAAACATAAGAATTTGCTAGGCGAAAGAAGAACAAGGTCCATCTAGTTCACCTTCCACCATTCTGGCAGTCACTTGATATGTCGTGTCCCAAACTTTACACTGAATCCCGAGATATTATTTTCTAGCAGAAATCTATCTAATTTGTTCTTGAAGCAAATTACATTTTCTGCTCCACTGTATCCCTGGGGAGCCTGTTCCTTAAGTTTTGTACTCTCTCGCTGAAGTAATCTTTCCACTTTGTTCTGAAATTACACCTCTTCAGTCCTAGGTGGTGTCTTCTGGTTCTACTGTTCAGTACAAGACACAACAGCTTGTCATGGTCTATATTATCTATTCCTTTCAGGATCTTTAAAGACCGTAATCATATTGCCCCTCAACTTACTCTTCTCCACTGGGAACATGCCCAGTTTATCTAATCACCCCTTGTAGTCCATTCCCGCCATCCCTCAATCATTTTGGTTGCCCCCGTCAATTGGCTTAATATTACCCTTTCAATACAACCCAGCATCTGGTTTGCCTTACTCACTGCTACCGAACACTGTTGGGATACCTTCATTTTATTATCAATCAGGAGGCCCAGGTCCTTTTCATTTTCCATACAGATTATTTTCTTACCATTTAAATAATAGTCCCTTCCTGGACTTTTTTTCTCATTGTGAACCACCTTGCATTTCTCTACATTAAATTTCATCTGCCATCGATCTGCCTAAATCCCAAGAATGTTCAAGTCCTCCTGTAACCTATCCTATTCATCTTTGCAGTCTAACAGCTTCATTATGGGATTACGGCGTTCACCTTGATTACGGGAACTCCCTCCTCATCGGCCATCACAATGGCCTTCACAGCTTCCCTTCACAAGCTGCAGATCATCCAAAACTCTGCAGCTCAGGTACTCTCATGTACCAGGCTCCGTGACCCCATCACTCCCACCCTCGCCCGACTCCACTGGCTCTCCAGCCTCCAGAGGATCGAGTTCAAGACCTCTGTTCTCACCTTTAAGACCATCCATGACCTTGCCCCCTCCTACTTCTCTGACCTGCTGACTCCCTATCAACCTGCCCGCGCTCTCCTTTCAGCGGGCTCCGGTTTACTCCATGTCTTCCGCCGACCCGCCCTACCATCGGTGGCCGGGCTTTCAGCCTCTCTGCCCCCACACTCTGGAACTCCATCCCACGGTCCCTTCACCTCACTTCCTCCCTTGCCTCCTTCAAGGCTGGTCTCAAGACCCTTCTCTTCGACCGTGTCTTTGGTCGCCCTCCTACCTCTCTGCCTTCCCCACCCCTGCACCACCCTCCCCCATGCTCGGGCCCCGACACCTAACTATTCAGTGCTTTGGGACATCCTCCCGACGTGAAAGGTGCTCTATAAATGTAATTTTCTTGTTGTTGTTCATTAGCTTGTTATCTGCAAATTTAGCCACTGTGCTTGTGACTCCTAGCTCCAGATTATTTATGAAGATGTTAAATAAAATGTTACTCCTCTGGTAACATTCTCCCAGCCTGATGACATTCCATGAACCACCATCTTCTGGGTTCTATTGGTCAATGATGAATCCATTGCAAGATACTGCCTCTAATTCCCACTTTCTTTATTTTCAGTACTAGCCTTTCATGAGGAACTGTATCAAAGGCCTTACTGAATCAAAATATACAACATCCACTGCCATACCCTTGTCAAGCTCCTTTGTCACACAGTCAAAAAAAAACAGTAAATTAGTTTAGCGGGATCTCCACTTCATAAACCCACATTGGTTATCTTTTATCATTTTATTACTGTCCAGATGCTCCATGATCTTATTTTTAACAAGTATCTCCGTAACATTACCCACAATGTTCGTCAAACTCACTGGTCTGTAGTTTTTTTGGTCATTTTTGTTACCTTTTTTAAAAATAGGAGTAACATCTGCCTTTCTCCAGTCCCCAGGTACCTCTCCAGTGATTTCTGAAAGATTTGTGCCAGAGTTCCTGCAATTTCCTCCCTTAGTTCCTTAAGGATCCTCAGATGCAATTTATCTGGCCCCTGAGATTTGCTTACCTTAAGTTTGCACAGTTGTTTGGCAACCATGCTGGTAGTGATATGTAGAGTGTCACAACTTGCCTCTGCAACACCACTGTGTTCTCTTTACAGATCCAATAAATTTCCCATCTCCTCTTTACAAAAACTGAGGCAAAAAACTTAATTTAATACTTCTGCAAGCCTGTGTAGCATCATTTGTCAAATCCTCACCCGATTCCATCTTTAATGGCCCTATTCCATCCCTCCTTTCTCTTTTTCTCTTTCTCTTAATGTAACTGAAAAACTTTTTATTGTTGTCCTTCACATCTCTTGCCATGTTCAGTTAAAACATTTTCTTTGCCATTCAGATACCTTTCTTGCAATCCTGGCATGCTTCTGGTATTGAGTACGTCTTTCCTCTGTGCTATTTTCCTTCATGGCCTTAAATGCCTTTTTTTTCTCCTCTTTATAAGTTGTTTTGTGGCCGTCCACCCAGATAGGAGTGAGTATCTTTAAAGCTTGGTACATTTGCTTGGTACCATTGCATTCCGAATCACCTCATTGAATGAGCTCCATGGTTCCTCTGCTCCCTTAGTTATGTTTAAACCTGCCAGGCCTGCTCTGATGAGACTTCTCAATCACATAAAATTGGTCTTCTTAAAATTTGGTAACTTTGTTTTTGTTTTTATAAGCTCACCAATCCATGTAATACCAAATGTGATAACATTATGATCACTGTTGCTTAATCCCTCAACCACCTTTGTGTTGGAGATTTGACCGTCCCTGTTACTCATAACCAAATCCAACATGTTATTTCCCCTTGTTGGCTCCTTACAAACGGAGTCATAAAATACTCTTCCTTTAACAATAGAAATTCCTTCCCTAGTAGTCTGCTCCTGGTCAGCATCTGATCATGGCCGTCAGTGATCTGTTTGAAGCAAACCCAAGCACATCTAAAGGATTAGAGAAACTTTCCTTCATAGTTGAGCACTACCTCTTTGCAAGATAGTGCATTTGCTCTGAGTAAAGATTGGTAAATCTCGCTTCTTTGCAGGGAGTGCTGCACTGCTGTGAGAAGCTCAAGGAACGCATGAAGCCAGTGAAGGATAAGCTTCCACCAGATACATCTTGGAAAGATCTTGTTGCAGCCTGTTTTAATGCTAAAGTGAATTTAACTGCACAAGACTGGTGAGTATTTAAATAGATTGTTTAATCTTGCCTGAACCTGACTATCAAAGGTTGAGATTTGTTTTATTTGAATTGGTGTAAGATGTGCTGCTCTTAAAAGCAAGCAACTTTTTGGGGACAATGTGGAGGATTGCCACCAAGTCCATAGGAGAGTGTACCATTTCAACTCCACTGTTTTGAGCAGTCATTGGTGTTAGAAGGGGCAAGGTGAACTGATCTCAGCTGGGATGTCAATGGGGCCATTACAATTCATGTCAGTAACCATGTCACAGTAGAGATTGTGTTTCCTCAGTTCTCAGCCACATAAACCCATGAAGGCAGAGCTTGCCATGGTTGGACAGTCACAATGTGGCATCATCAGCACCTGTGAAGGTCTTTGGCCCAGACAGGAATGGCCTCTTGGCTCCTGCAATTATTGGGGTTATGATCAAACCAATATTACTTTTTATATGCGCAGTAACTACTGACTTAAGATATTCTCCTCTAAAGGCTAAAGCAATTATCAGCAAAAGTTCAGATTTCCATTTTGTTTTAATTCCAAAGGCCTGGTGTTTCAGGCTTCAGCTTGGGATTCTTTCAAACCGAAATCTGTCCTGTACTCCTCTCCACTCACTGCCTCTCACAGAGAAGCCCGGTTGAGATAAAAAAAACTTGTCTCATCACGGTTTCTCAGCCTAATGATGTTCCAAGATCAGAGATTATCAGACTACTCGGCCAATTATTGATTATTGGAGATAATTTACATCACTATCATCTGATGTGAAGTAGTAAAACAACAACAACAAGATTACATTTGTATAGCGCCTTTCATGTCGGGAGGACGTCCCAAGGCGCTGGGAATGTATGGTGTTCCCTTCGATGGACAGTCAATATCAGCATCAATAACTTGCATTACAGCACTCTATAGCTAACACTCTCTTCTCGCTAGCACTCTTCAAACAAGATAGGGTCTTGGAGCGCTAGACAGACATAATTCTCTCCACACTAAAAATGAGCTACATTGTTTTCAACATTGTGAATAATATTGATAGCTTTATCATTGTTCAAGGCTCTTGAGTGTTTCTTTTTTTAAATAATGGTGTGTTGCTTATGTAGGGTGTGGCCTGACGAACAACCTGACAATGGCCCTCAGTATAACTCATATGGCGTGACTGTGGCAGAGGCTGAACTCGATGTCCTCACTGGAGAGAACCAAATTGTCCAAGTGGATATCCTCTTTGACTGTGGAGAAAGGTAAAAGAGAAAGAATGGTTGAAATGTGTCAATGTATTAGTACAAACTAGGTTGTGGATGACGTGCCTCAGTCCTTCAGAATTCTCATCAATATCAGAAATTGGGGTCTGCTTCGAGGCAGTTTAATCTGCTGGTACCTTCCAAGGTGTACAAAATGATGTTTATCTTCAGATTTGTAAACAAAAGTATACGTTTTAAGTGTCTTATTTAATAAATGAAGTAGCAGAAGAAATAATCTTAGCTTTACATTTTACTCAGAGCTTACTTTGTTTTTTAAACAGTGGATTACATAGAGTTACCACCATAGAGTGATTATGGCCACGGAAACAGGCCATTCCTCCCAACTAATCCACGCTGGTGTTTATACTCCACACGAGCCCCAACCCCTCCTACTCCCCTCTCCTATACCCTCTATTCCCTGCTCCTTCATGTATGCATTATTTTTTAAATTATATATATATCTATAATTGTATAATTTTGGAATCCTGTAGCTCAGTGGTTAGAGCTCTCACCTTGCAAGTGAGAGGATCTGAGTTCAATTCCTGGGCAGGGCAAAATGTTGGGCAAGTTTCCTTACTCCAGACACCTCTGTTTACCTAGCAGTAAGTAGGAACCCAGTTGTTAGTCAATTGGCAGATCGCTTTTCCGTGGGTAATAATTCCTTCATAAAAAATAATAATAATTTGGTTACTCAATCCAAGACTGTTTGTGGGACACTGTTGTGCAATTGGCTGCTGCATTTCGCCCACAAAATATACAGTCAATTCACTTTACAGTATATTCTGTGAAGCGATTTGAGATGATTCAAAGATGTGATAAGGCACTATAATAATAATAATCCTTGCATTTGATATAGCGCTTTTCACATCTTCTAGACGTCTCAAAGCGCTTCACAGAATAGACTGTAAAGTGAATTGACTGTATTTTGTGCTAATAATGCTATATCAAATGCAAGGATTATTATTATTATTTATTAAATGACCTTCTCTTTCTGAATAGTGCCATGGGATCTTTAACATCGCATTTTCACATTTGGCAATTTGCAAAGAGCAGCACCTGCTCTGTGTATTAAATGCTTTATTGGCTCAATAAAGTCTACCACATTTCAAGAATATTTGTGCTGCAGAAATTCATTACAGGATAGTGTTCAATCCATGTAAAAACGACTCAGCCAGTAAATATATGATTGCCCACGGAAAAGCATTCTGCCAATCAACTAACAACTGGGTTCCTACTTACTGAGAGGTAAATAAAGGCATGTGGCGTAAGGAAATTTGCCCAACATTTCTCCCTGCCCAGGAATCGAACCCAGGTCCTCTCACTTGTGAGGTGAGTGCTCTAAGCTACAGGACTGCACTAAGTTGGTGTCTTAATTTAAGCATGTTCTGAAGAAGCAATGGTTGAGTGGAAGGAGCAGTGTGTGTCAATGTGTGTCAGAAACAGACCTTGGTTTCGGTGTGAGTAATGATCAGGGTTTGTGTGACCTCCTACTGTGGGATTGGCATCTCAGCCTGTGCTGAAAAATTAACAGAGATTCATCTTTCCTCCTGACCTGCAGTATGAACCCTGACATTGATATTGGACAAGTAGAAGGAGCCTTCATCATGGGCATGGGCTACTGGCTGACTGAGAAGATGGTCTACGACCCCAAGACTGGGTCTGTGCTGAATCCGGGGACATGGGAATATAAACCACCCTTCAGCAAGGTAAGCTTAGAATGTTTGTATACCAGGAAAAATATTTGAGGTGTAGTTTAGAGGACTTTGAAAAAAATATATATTTTTGATTTGTTAACAAGTGTGTGTCAATTTGGCTCAGTTGGTAGCACTGTCGCCTCTGAGTTAGAAGGTTGTCGGTTCAAACCCCACGTCGGGTCTTGGAACCATATAGTCATATATATTGACACTCCAATGGGGATATAATGCATTATCAAAAATGCTGTCCTACAGATGAGACATTAAACCAAGGTCCTGTCTGCCTGTTCAGGTGGACATTCAAGATCCCATGACATTATTTGAAAAGCAAATGGAGTTTACCCTGGTGTTCCAGCCAACAATCCCCCAAATAAAATTGATTACAATGCCATATCAACCTGTTTGTTCCCTCCGCTCAGCAGGCTCTGCCCTACTCCACGTTCCCCATCCAGCCCACCCCACCAACGGCGGTCGGGCCTGCAGCCTCTCTGCCCCCACCCTTTGGAACTCCATCCCACAGTCCATTTACGTTGCTCCCTCCCTTGCCTCCTTCAGGGCACGTCTCAAAACTTTTCTTTTCGACCGTGCCTGCGGCCACCCTCCTACTCCTACCCTCCCTGCCCTCCACTCCTCCTTCAGGGCTGTTTGTGGGACATTGCTCTAGCAAAATAGCTGCAGTAGTCATATACAAAATACACACAATCACACCATTTTACAGTATATCATTTAAAGTGATTTGAGATGTGTCAAATGTAATAAGGCACTGTATCAAATGCAAGGATTATTATTATAAGCTTCTTATAGTGACCAAAGTTTTGGTGATGGGTACAAGTGCTACTAACTGCTCGAAAATATCACTTAACATTGGATTTAGTGTACTTGTACACTTAGAAAAACAAAGTAATTGTGATCCATGCTGTAACTTCTTGTGATCTGAAATAACATAGAGCAAAAATTCAATTCAGATGCCGTGGCAAATTCTCTGTTGCCTTTTTGATATTCTTGAGTTGACTGCTTACTTGTTCAGGTGGGAAGTACATTTAATAAGCCAGGTCAACATTTAAAATAACAAGGCTGCAACATTAATTTCAGACAGATAGAAAATGTTGTACTCAGAATTTGTATGGTGTAAATGTGAATGGAACTTGTAGCAAATCGTGTTTGTTTTGTGTGTGTTTTGTCTGTCAGGATATACCTATCAGATTTAACATAGAGTTTCTTACCGATGCTCCCAACCCACTGGGTGTCCTCCGCTCCAAGGCTTCTGGTGAGCCTCCCCAGTGCATGTCCTGTTCAACCTTATTCGCTGTGAAACGTGCCATTGAGGCAGCCCGTGAGGACGTCGGGGACAAGTCCTACTTTCCACTACGTGAGTGTGCTCCGGGCTTCAGGACCCTACCCCACGTGAAGGGCGCTATATAAAGGGAGGCGCTTCTTCCCTTGCCTCCTTCAAGGCCAGTCTCAAGACCCTTCTCTTCGACAGTGCCTTTAGTCTCCCTCCCACCTCTCTGCCTTCCCTCACCCCTACACCACCCCTCCCCCATGCTCGGGCCCCGACACCTGACTGTTCACCGCTTTGAGACGTCCTCCCGACGTGAAAGGTGCTCTATAAATGTCATTTTGTTGCTGTTGTTGTAAATGCAAGTTGCTGTTGTTGTTATGCTCACTGGGAATACAAACCATTCGTGATAAACATTCAGGTAATGCTGACTATGGTGTTAAATAAGTTTGGTTAAATCACCCTTACGTTATGAGATAAGATATCGAAGCCATGAAATGTGGCTGTTGCTCTGCACAGCAAACAGATAATTCTTAAACCACCCTTAGATTTGAAACCACTTAAGCTGAGCCTCACACTGAAATTGTTATTAGTGCAGAAAATATATAAACTTCCCATCTCTTTCTCCAGTTTGTTGAACTCCTTAATATATAGAGGGAGTCTGAATTATAATGTAATAATGTCTTAAGGAAGTTTTTGAATAAAGTCACTCATAATCCACGAGATTGATGGACAAGAGCATTTGAATAAGAAACATTCTTTATGCGCTTGCATTGCCGAGTGCTATCATTTTATTCTAATATGTAAATATCTGGTATTTATATTTATTAATTAGCCTGTGTTCATTATTTCTGTCATTCTTTTCTAACCAGTGGGGAATACAGCTCATGATTGGCATAAGCAATAGGATCAGGATAGGGCCATACTTGAAGATATATATAGCATCAGATTGATTGCTACTATAATGATCAGGTTTTTAGTGGTAGAATGCAGAAAGACAGAAGGTAGTAAATATATAGTTACAATTGTACTTCACCACCCATTATAAAGACCTATATTGTGGAGTCCTGAAGCTCAGTGGTTAGAGCACTCACCTTGCAAGCAAGAGACCTGGGCTCGATTCCCAGCAGGGTGAAACCTTAGGCAAGTTTCCTTACTCCACACACCTGATACTAATCCCTCAAGGAAATAAATAAAATAACAATTTGGTCACTCAATCCACGACTGTTTGTGGGACACTGCTGTGCACAATTGGCTGCCGCGTTTCACACACAAATTTACAGTCAATTCACTTTACAGTATATTCTGTGAAGCGCTTTGAGATGTCGAGAAGATATGAAAAGCCCTATATCAAATGCAAGGATTATTATTATTATATTCACTTATTCTAGAAATACCTCATCCAAAAGAGAATTAATCTTGGCTGAAGGAAAGCAGTGTCAGGAAGTCAGCAACAGAGATTAAAATAGAACAAAGGAAATGATTCCTGCCCAAGTAATACCTTTTTACTTGACTAACCTTGTGAAGCACGAGGTATTTGAAACTAATTTAATTTTGTGCTTTTAATGTTGACCTTGAATTAATCTTGTTCATTGATATTTCCTGAAAAAATTCTATGATTCATCTACAACAACAACACCAATAACAAAATTACATTTGTAAAGTACCTTTCATGTTGGGAAGACGTTCCAAGGCGCTGAACAGCCAGGGATCAGGACCCAAGCGTGGGGGGCAGGGTTAGGATGAGGGAGGGCAGAGAGGTAGGAGGGCAGCTGAGAAAGGAGGGCCTGGAGTCATTACTTGAAGGAGGCACGAGAGGGAGCAAGGAAAAGGGATTGTGGGATGGAATGTCAAAGGGTGGGGGCAAAGAGGCTGGTTGGGCGGGTTGGGCAGGAGACCTGGAGCAGGCTGGAGCCTGCTGAGCGGAGGAAGCGGACAGGTTGATAGGGTCAGAGATGTAGGAAGGGCCAAGCCCATGGAGGGCCTTGAAAGTGAGGACAAGGATTTTGAATTCTATCCTCTGAGGGATGGAGAGCCAGTGGAGCCAGGCGAGGATGGGGGTGGTGGGGTCACGGAGCCTGGTGCGGGAGAGGACACAAGCAGCAGAATTCTGGATGATCTGCAGCTTGTGGAGGGAAGAGTTGGGGAGGGTAACAAGGAGGGAGTTTCCATAATCGAGTCTTGAGGTGACGAATGCGTGTATGAGGGATTCTGCGGCCTGAGGGGTGAGGCAGTGGCAGAGTCGGGCAATGTTGCGGAGGTGGAGGAAGACAGAGTGGGTCATGGCACGAGGGGAGAAAGGACAGTTGAGGGTCGAACAAGACGCCCAGGTTCCTGGCTGGTTTAGTAAAGTGGAGTGTGCATCCGTAGACTCTGATGCTGCCAGGATCTGAGGTGCGGAGGCGCTGGCGCGAGCCAATCAGGCAGACCTCGGTTTTGCTGACATTCAGCTGGAGAAAGTTGGTTCTCATCCAGGACTCATCCAGACCTAGTTTGCTGATTGAGCGAATTTGAACATTGTTTTTCCAAAACATCTGGTACAGTCAGGATCTCATAACGGTCTGTATATGGCATTTTCCGGAGGTTAAAGTATTTGGTAGCAGTGGTGATGTTACACTGGTGCTTATGGCACAATACATATCTCTAGTTATTATTAGATTAGACAAATTAAGTACATATGGGTTTTTTTAAATGGTGGAACAAAATCAATTTGAAAGCTAATTTCACTGCTCGCTGGCAGTTCACTGTATTGTGAGGACACGTTCTAAAATGTGGTTTAATGAAACACCAGGATATTTGTAATTCTCTCCAGAGAATAAGAGATATTACAAAAGTGACTGCGGAATTTAGCAATGCACTCAATCAGACACTGTGAAAGGATTTTTTTAAAAAATTCAATGACATTGAAGAGCAGGGAAAGATGGTTAATACATTAAAGCAATGGTTCTTGTCTAAACTTTTGTCACTCTGATGTTTTTCCACAGATGGACCTGCAACAGTTGATATCGTCCAGACAAACTGCCTTGTAGACTACAAGCAGTTTTCAATCTGAAATCAAGCCACTAATTTGTGCCAATGTACTGAACATACACAAGAGCTAGCTCTTTAATATACAGTCGTACTGCGATCTGCACTAATGTATCCACGGCAAGCATTCAATACAATGCTTATGAATGTAAAAAGAAAAAATATGCAATTGCATGAGACTGTTGGCTTATTCAAGATATTGTTTCAATATTCACACTGTGGTTGAGTGTATAGTTAGGTACATTGTATTTGGTTCTGATTCAACATAAAATGTAACTCGCTAGTTTAAAGGAAATAACTCCAGTTAGTGTTTTTCAACCATTGGGATCACATAGTTGGGGCTGGGGGTGGGAGTTGAGTGGAGGGTGCAGGTGCCAGCTAGTTCTTTTAATGTTTGAATGTATTGATTCTTTTGTAATCCTGTTAATTACTTCAGCAATGGAACATTTTGATTTTTAAAAAAATAACTGATATAACTCTTAATGATTTTCTCTGATCAAATTAAATGTTCAGTTCACTCCTGCAATGTATAGTTTTGTAATTATTTCTGATTTTGCACTTTGCTTATTTTTCCAGTTTTACATTAGTCCATGAGAACATACTGACGGAACAAGGTCATTCAGCCCCTCTAACCTGACCCGTATTTCCTGTGTTGTACCACTCCCTGGCTCAGTCTATTGCATCACAAACCCACTCTACTAATTGACTTTAACTGAGCTCATGTCTATCTGTTATGGTGGCTGTTAAAAAAATCCAGTGACACTAATTTAAAGGGGGTGGGGGGAGCATTTCTCCTGGTATCCTGGCCAACAATTCTCCAGATAAAATTGGTTATTTAACTTTGTGGCTATTTATAGGATATTGCTGTGTGCTAATTGGTTTCCATGTCATACAATACAAGTACGGACTATACAAATATAGTCACTGCACTCCACAAAAATGGCCTTCCTATAGCAGACTCCCATGACATGCATTAGATGGGAATAGCAAAATAATTGCTTAAAACCAGACTTCCATGATCAGACAACACTGAAAGCAAATTGTCACGAAGGTGAATAATGCGTTCTTCATCACATTCAATATTTTAGAAATTAGATAACTTTATACTTCCTTTTAAGTGAGCACAGTTTATTTCACTATAACATAAGCCAGTTTCAGAAGTATAGTATAGCAGGAGCTAAGTTATAATAATAATAATAATAATAATCCTTGCATTTGATGTAGCGCCTTAGCAAGGTTTGGAGCGCCTCACAGAATAAACTGTAAAGTGAATTGACTGTATATTTTGGGTTAAGAATCACTATACTTTGCAGGAAATCCTATGAAGCGCTTTGAGACGTCCTCCCAATATGAAAGGCGCTATATCAAATGTAAGGATTATTATTATAAACACTTCTTCAAGTGGGAAGCAGTGCAGTCGATCACAGCCTGGTATGTGTAAAGCCCTCTGACTTCCTAATTACTTAGTTTATCTTCCGTTGCCTCGCAACCAATGCAATGATAATAATCCTCACAATTAATATAGTACCTTTCACGTCAAGAAGGTGTCACAAAACGCTTCACATGATTTACTGTAAACTAGTGACTATTTTGTAGGTGAATACAGCATCCAATTTTCACACAATTGTCCCACAAACACCCATGTAGTGTGGATAGTCGGGAGCATTCACCCAAGGTCAGAGGACAGTAACTAGTGATCTAGTAAAGTCTAGGCAAGCTCTATTGTTTTTAGAAGCCATGCTCCCTGTCTACGTCTCCTTTTACCCTGCAAATTCTGTCACAAGAACGTATCAGCTTGATAATCTGCACAGTCATTGGGAACAGTACATTGTGGTTTGAAAAATGTACCCACAGGACATGCCACAACCAATGCTGAATAGTCCATGAATGGAATTGTAACAATGAATTGTTTTCATATCTAACAGAGGTACTTTGAGCAAAAAAAGCACTTTAGAGAAAAATTTCCCAAAGTTTGTGGGTTGAAGCCTTACATCGCGATGGACTTGGAACTCGTGTCGTCTCTCAGTTGACATTCCAATGCTGTAAAAACAGCATTTGACAAGAGTGATCCAATAGCCATTAAACTGCCAGATCAAACCCGCTAAGTTGCCTAATCGGAATTAACATTCTATAGGTCATATGTCATTTCACAGTTTAAATCTTCAAATTAACTGCAACAATGTTAATCGATTTGAAGGTGATGGGTACTGTCAACTAGCAAATTTGAAGTCATTTTAGAATTGGTCTCAAAGCCTTTGGATGCCTCTTACTCTCTAAAACCACTCAAGTATGCTGACTGACAGGTCTTGTAAACTTTATTCGCTGTTCAGATTGTTAGTTTACATTAAATAAAAACTTACCACAGATTATATAATATGTGTAGTACAGTAGAACCCTGTTATAACCTGCTTCATTACAACACAGATTCACCTATTGGGTTGTGGACCCCAACATTTACTTACCAATCACGTCCAAAAAGTGCACAGAAAGATGGCTGGTGTGCATCAAATCCTGTTGCTTTTTGTGTTAAAACACATCATCAAAATCTGGCTTGTTTTGAAACACAAGAGCACAAGAAACACAATGACGTGATTTGAAACATGACAATGTGCATAAGAAACACAGCCAACTTTTGAGCATGTGAGCAATGATATCATCAGGCATGTGATGGGTGAATTTACTATATGGAAGCACTGACGGCTCCTATTTGCCAAAATGCTTGAAATTAGCTACACAAAGAAATACAACAACCCACTTTGAGATGTCCTCCTGAGTTGAAAATGTAAGAATTTCTTATTACTGTATTTTCAACAAATAATTTCTCAACTGTATGTGTGGGTGTATGATAATAATAATAATCCTCGTATTTGATGTAGCGCTTTTCACGTCTTCTAGACGTCTGAAAGCGCTTTACAGAAAATACTGTAAAGTGAATTGACTGCATACTTGTGGACGAAATGAGGCAGCCAATTGCACACAGCAGTGTCCCATAAACAGTCGTGGATTGAGTGACCAAGTTATTATTGGGTTTTTTGAAGGATTATTATCCCCGGAAAAGCAGTCAACTAATCGACTAACAACCGGGTTCCTACGTACTGCTAGGTAAACAGGCGTGTGGAGTAAGGAAACTTGGCCAACAATGATCTTAGACTCTTGATAATCTATGTCAAATTGTTAAATATTTCAATATAATAAATGGTTCAAATAAATGCGAGGTTCCCCTTTTTGACTGCTGCAATCTATTTAACCTGTTGTGTCTCCCAATGATAGTTAGGTCTAGTTTGTCCATTGCTGTGTTCTGAGTCAGATAACGCACAAGCCTACAGAGAGGGATCAGATTCTCATCCCTAAACTCTTGGATTGCTGGAAACACTTCTTGTAAAAAGATAAGATATTGCCACAATTTAAAGACATTTGTTTATTGTCAGGGTGATACACTGGCATTTTTATTAAATTGATACGTGTTTAAGACATACACTTTTACAAGAAGTCATCCCCACGAAAAAAACATCTCATTGTTTCCAGCCCAAACATCTTCTCATGTAGGTACAGTCCAACCTTGTGACCCATTCACTTCCTGCTGTGGCAAAGGAGTCATCAGAAGGGCATCAAATCATTAATATAGTATGAGCAATGTGTCCACTGAAATGTGCTCATACCTCTTTGGGAGTGGAAGAGGTTAGAAAACAGTAAGGAGCTTCTTTTTAAAAACAATTTATGCCCTGCAGCTCTTAGCCTCGCGAGATTCTTGCTTTACAGTAAACCGCTTCAGACTAAAAGTATTTTATTATTAATGTTTTAATAAAAGATTCCATGGATTCTTTTGTCCTCCCTCTGGTCCAATGCATTGACCAATTTGTAATCACTTTGATGATAGTGAATGGAAGAGATCATGATGTGAACAGCATGCAATACGCTATATTGAATAATTAGAGCTTCATTTGACAACAAGGGAATATTGAAGAAAGTCCCATTAATGTCTTTAATATGTCCTGGACTTGATTTTCTACAAAATCTGTGCAGCATAAGTAAGGGTTGTGCTTGCTGCATCGTTATTTTCTATAAATAAAACCGTACCCTTTGTTTAGCATTACTTCATCAACATTCAGAGGAACTACTTCACCCAGAGTATAGTGAGATTGTGGAACTCACTGCCTGAAATGGTGGTTGAAACAGATGGTGTAGATGCATTCAAGAGAAAGTTAGACCCTCACATGGGGGAGAGGGGAATAGAAGGGTATGAGAGAGAGTAAGGAGTTTATCTTTATAACTGTAAATCTTTGTAAATCGTACAAAAATGTTTAATTGTAATTTTGGGGCCAATGTAAAAAAAAATTGTGTGGTGTCCCACCACAAGGCCGAACTCCAATATGATTCATTACCGTGGGAGGGGGGAAGAGCAAAGTGGAGCCTTCTTGTAGCTGGGCCAAGGTGATGTGATAACAATGGAATGTTAGAATTGAGTCAACCCTCTGTGGTGATCTCGATGGTCCAGTTCCTGACCCAGGTGGGTCTGCAGTATTCCAGGGAACTGCTGATGGCAGCACAGCCAGCCTGGCTCATCAGCAGGACTCGCAGGGGCAAACCAGTCAATGGTGGCAAGGAATCATCCCACTCATTTCCTATTCATGAAAGACGAAGCCCTAATTAATGGGTAGTACTGAACATTTGTGGAGTCCTGTAGCTCAGTGGTTATAGCACTCGCCTTGCAAGCGAGACACCTGGGTTCAATTCCAGGCAGGGCGAAACCTTGGGCAAGTTTCCTTACTCCACACGCCTAATAATAATCCCTCCAAAACAAAACAATAATAAATTGGTCATTTTCCATCCACGACTGTTTGTGGGACGCTGCTGTGCGCAATTGGCTCCTGCATTTCGCCCACAAATATACAGTCAATTCACTTTACAGTCTATTCTGTGAAGCGCTTTGAGACGTTGAGAAGACGTGAAAAGCGCTATATCAAATGCAAGGACTATTATTTTTTATTACAACATTGATGGCAATAGCTCTTAAATCTCACCTCTGAACGATCAATGCGGTCCAGGTTAGAAATATCATAAATGTCTCTGACAGCAGCAGTGTCCGCACCACCAGTACCACATTTCTGCAGTCGCAGATTATCCAGGACTTTGAAAAGCGAGAGTCCTGAATAAATATAGTGACTGTCTCGTAATTCTCCAAATACAATGGGATGTGCCAGCTTTCACTGGCAGTGTCCAGACTTAACAACAGAACCAAGAATGGGGCTTATAATAAAACATTTGGAAACCTATTTGAGAAAGGTCCGTAAGCCGCATAAGCAATATTTTTGTGTTTTCCTTCCAGAAACATAACATAGCATTCATGGGTTAATTCATGGATTCCCTGCGAATGTGGCGGGGTGGGGGGGTGGTGCAGGTGAAGTTGGCCCATGGGCCACCAGTTGGACCACCTTCCCAGGTCTTTCCCCATTTCCCTAAATAGAGACTGAAGAAGTGGCCTGAATAGTGAGATGCCGACTAGGTAAGGTTCTACTGTATCAATTT